GTCCAAGGAAGGTACATGAAGATCTGGCTCTGCTGGGGGAACTTCATACTGGAGGTGGTTGATTAATTAAATTGAACCCCACATGTCCAGCACCCCTCTTTGCCATTTTGTGTCTATGATTTTATCTGTTCATGTTTTTTACCTTTTTCTGATGTATGATTTTAATATTTTTCCATTTTTCTATGTTGTAAGCCTCTCAAAATGATTGGATATGATTCGATATTTTTTAAACAAACAAACAAACAAACAAAGCCTTGCTGTGTTTTATAAGTTAGAGCAAGCAGTAGTTGGTCAGGAAAAGTAATGAACAATTGGTCTTTCCCACTCCAATGGTGGACCAATCAAACCAACATTTCTTCTCCTCCTTCTCCTCCCCCTTGTCCTCTATCACAAATTCTGTTAATTTCCCCTTCTGGGCAAGTGTCAGAAAAAAGACATAATTATGGTTTGTGTAAATTCTTTTCCCAGTTAATCTGCTGGATGGAAAAATATCCAGTATGAAGGGAATCAAGAGAGGATGGGTCCAACAATTGAATCCATGGGTTCCCAAAGACAGTTCCATGAAAATAATTGATGCTGGCTTTCCCAGCATAATAATAGTCAACATTGTTACCAGAACAGAACAGAAACAGATTTGGAAGGGACCTTGGAGGTCTTCTGGTCCAGGGGTCGCCAACCTTTTGGACCTCAGGGTCAACCAAACTCATAATTTTAAATCTCAGGGATCACTAACCTGTTCTGTGGGCATGGCCTAATTTGTGGGTGTGGCTTGGTGGTCATGTGACTGGCTGGGCATGGCTTGTATGTAAATATTATATTTATATAAATATTGAATGTTTTATATAAAAAAGAGCAACTTTACCCAAAATCAGCCAAAGCAGGCAGGCAGATTGAGTTGCTCACAGAATCACAGATTCATTCAAAGATCTATCTATCTGCCATCAGCTAGCTCAGTCTGTCACATACAATTTGCTTGCAAGCAAACTCACAAAATTAACTCACAACACCAACCATGTATGTAAAAATTGAATTCCAAACCATGTATGTAAATATTGAATTTTTTATTTAAAAAAAAGAGCAACTTTTACCCAAAATCAGGCAAAGCAGGCAGGCAGATTGACTTGCTTACAGAATCATTCAGTGATCTATCTGCCATCGGCTAGCTCAGTCTGTCACATAAAAGTTGCTTGCCATGAGTCTGCACTCAATAATAGAACCTTCAGTCCTAAGGGATGTTCAAAAAGCAGAGCCAAAGATCTAAAGATTAGCTAGAAAGCAAGGAATCCAACCATTTCTTGCTTCCTAGCTGATCTAAATCTCCCGGCACAAAACAGCTAATGGTCAGAAAAATAGCAATTTAGCAGGCAAGTTTGCTGGGTAAGGAGTGAGAGGGCAGGAAGGGTTCCTGTGGGCCATGTGGGTGGTGCAACCTGGTGTTTCTGCGCAGCCTGGATTAATTACTTTGGGGGGTATGCTCTGGGGATGAGATTTCTCTGTGGCCCACCAAAATTTTCTTGTGGCCTCCAGTGAGCTGCGGCCCACCAGTTGGCGACCACTGTTCTAGTCCAACCCCCTGTTCAAACAGGAGGTCTTATACAATCTGGACAAATAGGTGTGTCCAGTCTCTTCCTAAAAACTTCCAGTGATGGAAGATGGAAGGAAGAAGAAAAGATTATCTTGACCAGTTTCTTAAGGTATCTTCTTTTCCAGCTGATGTGAACAGCAGAGACAGTTGCTTAAGGCTGCCATGTAGAAGTATTCTTGATATTCATATGAGGAGAAATAAAACCTTTGTTCCAATTTTTCCTGATCCTTGGTCATTCCAACTTGCTATGTTACTTTTTTGTGTGCCAAGTCTCCTTCCCCTTTTTAAAAGCTATAAATCTGAAGGTTGTTTCAATCCCCCAAAGTGTCTTCAAACCACAAGAGATTGTTCATAACGGATGATAGTACTTCACAGGCTTCACATTCAGCACCAAGAGTGTTTAATTTCAAGAGACAGAAACTCTAATCCAATGTTTTTCAACCTTGGCAACTTTAAGATGGTTGTATTTCCACTCCCAGAATTTTCCAACCAACATGAGAAATACTGCTCTAATTCATTCTATCTTTAAACAGTATAAGGCTAGGTGGTCATCCAGAAATATGATTAAGACAACATTGTATGAATAACCTCTAAAGCCTATTGTTTATACACAATTCTAATCATTGGCAACTTCCTAGTTTCCTACATAACATAATTCAACAGGAAACAAACCATCTCAATTTATATGTCATGCTTGATTTCAGAAGATGGATCTTTATGCAAAAAAAAGGGAAACACTAGTGAGAGGCTAAGAAAGCATTTACATTATAAGAATTAAATCCTTTAAGTCAAGACAGCTCACTCCTAGATAAACTGCAAAGACTGGAGCCTAAGATAGGCTTTATGGTGAAAAAGGATAGCTACTCTTTGGATAATGTTTCTCAACTGCAACAAGAAAATGGTGGACTTCAACTTCCAGAATCTCCGCCCAACATGCTAGAGTTTAAGACCCCACATATTAAAATAGATAATGTTGAAAAACATTGCTTGAGATTTTGCTGGAAGTAGAAAAAAAGAGGCTTTTTTCCCCTTTATTAACTGTACAGTCTTGCAATAGCAGCTTCATTTCTCAGAAAATAATGGAGTAGGTTCAAATTTACACAGAAAGCACCACCTTTAATGAGAAAATAGTTCTCTTTCCAAAATATCTGAAAATTGGGGTTGCATAAGGGCACTCAAGTGCTGTACATATCCAGAGACACCTATTCCTCTGTCGCTGCTGGTGTGCATTATGAGCTTTGAAGCTTTTTGTCACATGTATTGATGCAGTTTATTCTGTATCTCTATCCAAATGGTTTGTACACATATTAAGAAATCTTGGCAACCCCTGATTCTTTGATCTGGGCTTTGCTGTTGTCCACCAAACAAAGACTAAAAAACCCTCTAGTCATATTATATAATTGACTGCCTTGGATCAGATTGGCATTTTGCTTTATATGTTGAATTTTATGTATTGTGTTGTATTGTATATATATTTTATATATATAGCATTTTCTGTTCAAAACTAGAGATGTGTAGAAACGCTGCAAGATGATGCTAAAGCGAACAGATAATTACCGCTATTATTAATGCAAAATGTTTAGCTGGAAAACATTAACAGCTGAGCCTGAGAAGAAACGTCTCAAGTGGGAGATATTGTAAGCCATTCAGCAGCCCTTTTAAACCTAATTGATATGGCTGAGCTGAACTCTCCGTTACCATGGAGATTAAACCAACTGGACTTCTCAAGGGTATCTAAGTTGCGGTGGAATCATCTGCCCTTTCCCAAAATGCTGTTTCTTGTCTCTGCCCATATTGAAAATGGCTTCCGTGAATCATCTGTACTGTATCTGTAAAAGTATTACAGAACTCATTTTTTCAAAGATGGCTGCCTACTGCCCTTTTTCAAGATGGTGGCCCTCCAAAACAAGGCAGGCATCAGCTGCCCATGTCAAAATGATGGTAGAGCTTTAAGGTTTTCGAAAAAAGAATGGGAAGTGTTCATTCCTGGAAGGAAAAGACAATGATTTTTTGAGGATCACCCTATGCTTCCCTTGAGCAGATGTACATACTATGCAGTTTCCCTAACAAACTGTTTCTTTTCCTTTAAGCGACATGAATGTACTTCCTTGAAACTTTTAATTGGAATCTCAAGAGGGAGGAAGACTAAACGATGTTTACACACTACGATAGATGATAGATAGGTTCAACATTTATCTGTTGCGATTCTAAGTCTGTCTCAATTTATGATGACTGTATGAGAACACAGCCAGAGGAAGAATGGCTCTGAGCCTTGCTTCTAAGGGGAGAGGGGCTGGAGGAAGGACTACCAGGGATTTGCGCCCTAGATAGTTGGAGAGCCACCTGCCTAGTGTTGAATTGCAAGCAGTGTCTGACATTCTGGTTCGGACTTTGGCCCAAGAACCAACCTTCAGTATCTTCAAAGGATGCAAGCCAAGGAGCGGGGGCTACAGCCACATCCGGACCTATCAATTAATCAGAATAGAGCTGGAAGGGGCCTTTGAGGTCTTCAATCTAACCCCCTGCTCAAACAGGAGACCCTATACCATTTCAGACAAGTGGCTGTCCAGTCTCTTCTTAAAAACCTCCAGTGATAAAGCACCCACAACTCGTGAAGTCAAGCTGTTCCACTGATTGTTCTCACTGTTAGGGATTTTCTCTTTAATTCCAGGTTGCTTCTCTCCTTGATTAGTTTCCATAGTTTCTTGTCCTGCCTTCTGGTGCTTTGGAGAACAGGTTGACTCCCCCTTCTTTTTTGGCAGCCCCCTCAAATATTGGAACACTGCTATCATGTCTTGTAAAAGTCCTTCTTTTCTCTTGACTAGCTAAACCCAAATCCTGCAACCGATCTCCATATATTTTTGCCTCCAGGCCTTTAATCATCTTAGTTGCTCTTCTTTGCAAGTCAAATGTTTTGTTTTGTTTTGTTTTAAAAAACCCGCTTAAAATGCATTATAATACTTGCATACGTATGTATATCATATACATACAGTTTTATTTATTTATTCAATTTCCACAGGTATGCCGCCTATCTCTGAAAAGCCACTTTGATCGGCTTGCAATTAAAAGGACAGACACCTATGTACCCACAGGCGATATCTCTCTCGCTGGCAACAAAATCCTCACTGCAAAGGAGTTTCCAGAATCCGGGGACTTAAAAATAACAGATGCACCTCAACTTCCTTTCGTTACACTCCCTATAACACTCCTGTTTTTCTTGAGCTAAAAGAGTTCATCAAACCTCTGTGTCTCTGTCTTTGAAATATGCTCTATTTCGGAAACTAGTAATTTCTTTAAAGTGCTGTATTCAGTAAATCTTTGCATCTCCTTCATTCTCTATATTTGCTAAATATCTTAAGTGCGTCGTATCTCTACGATGCTGAAGCCAAAGCGCGACGTGATGGGCGGAGCCTGCGCCCTTTTTCAAGATGGAGGAATCCTGCACGTGGGAAGAGGAGAACCCTGCTTCTAGCAGCGGGAGTAGCGGCAGCAGCGATGAAATGGAGGATATGGAAATGGAGGAAAAAGAAGAGAAGAAGCAAGGAAAGCCTCAAGCAGGAGCTTATGTGCCGGGGAAAGATCCCCCTCCAGCCCCTGGAGAAGAGCTGGTGATGGACGAAGGCGCATATCGACTCTACCATCGAGCAGGCACCGGTAGGAAGAATTGGGCAATTCTCACGTTATATTGGAGAAGGATGTGATCGCGGGCAAGAGAGAAAAACAGGGAGTATGAATCGCTAGTAATGCAAACCAAAAACTAGGGTTCGGCATTTGCTAGTAATCTAAATGGAGCAATTTAGGAATTTAGCTTTCCGCCCTTCCGAGGTCGGTAAAATGAGGACCCAGATTGTTGGAGGCAATATGCTGACTCTAAACCCCTTAGAGAGGGCTGTAAAACGGTACATAAGTTTAAGTGCTATTGCCAATTGAGCTTAGAATTTTTGTTCCTGCCACAAAAGGGTTGGTGATAAATATATCTATGATCCTACTGAGAAAATTGGAGTTTAGAATTACACTTAACTTGTGTAAGGGGGTGGGGGTTGTCCAAAACTGATGTTAGTTTCTCCATTGCTGTGACTTGTAGGTCTGTTGCATCTCAGTTTCCACAATTCCAGGGATCCGTTTTGGATGATCCTGGATAGTAATTACAAGAATTGAACTCTAGAGGTTCAAGAAAGGATCAAATAGAAAAAAGTAGTCATAGAAGTTCCATTTAACCCTGAGGTATCCAGACAGAGGATAGGGCAAAGCACCTTCCAAATACTTTAGAATTTGTAGAGTCTGCATTGCAAACAGAACCTGAGAACTATTTTGTAAGTCTATATACTCAACACATGTTTGATAAAATGAAACCCAATGTTTACATATAAAGAAAGAAGATGAGGTTAAGTTGTGAATAGGATAGCAAAAATTAGTATAAACATCTAGATCAGGGGTCTCCAACCTTAGCAACTTTAAGCCTGGAGGACTTCAACTCCCAGGATTCCCCAGCCAGCAAAGGCTAAGGTTGGAGACCCCGATCTAGATAAATGGCCCAGCTAAATGAGGTCCTTCTATTGCTATCAATTTAGGGGCTCCTTGCTTGAGCTTTGACATCTTGCGTGATGCTCTTGGAGACAACCGAACTAGCTACCCACTGAGCCTTTTCCTTTGTGCGGGAACACAAGCCGAAACTGCCCAAGCGAACAGGTGAGTGCTTGGGATGGGTCAATGCAAGTAATCCTTGACTTATAAACCATTCATTTTGCAACTGTTCAAAGTGACAGTGGAGCTGAAAAAAGTGACTTATGACCAATTCTCACGGTTATGACTATCACAGGTTCTCCATAGCCATATGATCAAAATTTGGGCACTTGGTAACTGACCTGTATTTATGATGTTTGTAGAGGCCTCTGGTCATATGATCACCCCCAGCAAAGTCAATGGGGAAGTGGAATTCACTTAACAACTGTTTGATTCACTTAACTTGCAGCCATTCTCTTTAACAACCACGGCAAAAGATTGTAAAATTGGGCATGGTTCATTTGACAACCGCCTTGCTTAGCCACAGAAATTCAGGACCCAATAATGGTCCCAAGTTGAGGACTACCTTATTGTAGGCTAAGCTGACAATCATCTGAATGAGCTAGGAAAGGAATCTTCCATAGCCTGATACCTACTAAAAGTATTTGATTTCAACCCCCATCCTACTACTCAAACCGCATGGCCCACTGTAGGATGGGGCCTGAAATCCAGGACAGGTGGTTCCAGGTTGGGGAAAGGTAACAATCTTATCGATCCATTTTATAACATTTTTTCCTCCCTCTCCCCTCCAATCCCACCCTAATAAACCACAGGTTGCTAGTGATGAAAATGCACAATCTCCATGGGACCAAGTCAGCTTGCAAAAATTCTTCTGAGTCAGAGAGTAGCAGCGAGAGTGAAGATGATGATGAGGACAAGAAACCCCAGCTAGAACTGGCCATGGTTCCCCACTATGGAGGGATTAACAGACTGCGAGTATGGAATGTTTCTTGCTGGTCTTTCCTATCTTTGCTTCCTTCGATAACATTGTTTCCCCCTTAATGCTTTCCCCTGCTATTTTCCCTCTTCCGCATAGGTGACAGAGCTGGGAGAGACTCAGGTGGTTGCAGCATGGTCTGAGAAAGGGCAGGTGGATATATACGATCTTCAGCGCCTCTTGGTGGCTGTTTCTGACCCCCAAGCGTTGGCAGTCTTCTTGCGAGAAGAGCAGGCCAAGATCAAGCCCATCTTTTCATTTACTGGACATATGTCAGAGGGCTTTGCCATGGACTGGTCCCCTAAGAAACCAGGTAATGGAAGAAGGGAAGGGAAAGATAGCTGTAGGAGGTGAGAATGGATGAAGTCTAATTCATGATATTTTGGGTATTGCTTGTTGTAGGCACTCTTTTGACCGGGGACTGCAATAAAAATATCCATCTATGGACACCCAAGGAGGATGGATCGTGGTTTGTAGATCAGCGGCCTTTCACAGCCCACACAGCATCAGTGGAAGACATACAGTGGTCCCCAAATGAAGCTACAGTAAGTTATCGATAAGTTTGTGCAAGTTTGCAAGTCATCTTGCATCTAGGGAAGAGGATATTTCAATAAACTTTTATTTACTTTAAGAGACATCTTAATAAAAAAAAACCCTTTTAACTGATTGGATAAGCCATTGTTTCTCCATCTTGGACATTTTTAAGATTTATGGACCGCAAGTTCCAATATTTCCAGGCAGCGTTGTCTAAACATTTGGACCTATTGATTTTTATTTGGGAATAAATATAACTGAACACATTAGGACACATTTCTGAGTAAGAATGCCTAACTGCTTCCTTCTCGTTTCTGAATAATTTTCATTAGCAAGAAGGTACACTAGATACAGACAAAAAATACTGTATCCTATATATGCATAAAACCAATATACTAATTCTCTGGAAATTTCAGGGAACTTTGATTCTGGAGTCTGCACTTTTATTAAAGACATTTACATGCAAAAATAAATTAAGTTCTTTTCTTCCTTTAAGAATGCACAGCAAGAAAGCCTGTTGCAGACATAAGAGAGCTTAGCTCCCCTTGTTGAAAAGGAAATGCATTTTTGTATCTCTGGGTTAGGTTTTTGCTTCATGTTCGGCTGATGCCTCCATTCGCGTCTGGGACACACGGGCTGCACCGGGAAAAGCCTGCATGCTGACCACCAGCAAAGCGCACGATGCAGATGTCAATGTGATCAGTTGGAACCGAAATGAGCCCTTTATTGTTAGTGGTGGTGATGATGGGATCCTAAGGATTTGGGATCTAAGGCAGTTCCAGGTGAGCCAATGGATTCCTGCTGCCAGATGAAGTATGGAATAATCACAACTTAACCTGAGGCATCTGGTTGGTTTGGGTCTAATGGGAACACAACTATAAAAGGGATGCGACCTCAGTGGCTTTAAGAGGTGTGGACTTCAACTCCCAGGATTCTCCGGCCAACATTGCTGGAATTCTGGGAACTGAAGTCCATGCATCTTAAAACCATCAAGGTTGAGAAACATTGGCTCAGCCTTGGGGCATGAATCAAGAGCCACACATTCATTTTGTGATTGCAACATCCCCTACACTCCCTCCCTCCAATCTGACTTCTACTGAATATGGAGACTTGCAGTTGCCACTGTATCCATTTTGTACCTTAAAACTTCCAAAGTGAGCCTTATCTCACCAACTGGAAGCATGGTTTTCAACATGTCCCACAAAACCTGGTATGGCCCTCAAGCCAATAGAAGGCACGGATTCCCTCTGCTATCCCATTTGCCCATCTTTTGTTATCATAGTATTCATGTACGTTCATTATTTTATTGTTCTATTGTTTTGATTACATTTTTTTATTCTTATAAGATCCTAGAGTAGCCCCATGATGAGATTGGTGGCAATTAAATTTAATAAATTGTAACATTTGGCTTCTGTGTTGTGTAATCCCAGAGTAACTGGGTTATTTAATGAACTCTACCTCAGCGAACATGGACACCCATCTCTATTTTTCCTTATCTTGGCTTATAATAATGGTCATTTTCTTCCCACAGAAAGGTTCAGCGGTTGCCACCTTCAAGCAACACACTGCACCCATCACCTCAGTGGAATGGCACCCCACTGATAGCGGTGTCTTTGCTGCCTCTGGGGCCGATGACCAAGTGACTCAGTGGGACTTAGCTGTGGAACGTGACGAAGGAGAGGCTGAGGACCCAGCCTTGGCTACCATCCCACCCCAGCTGCTCTTCGTTCACCAGGGAGAGAACGATATCAAGGAGCTGCACTGGCACCCACAATGCCCTGGCACCCTCATCACCACCGCCCTCTCTGGGTTCAACATCTTTCGAACCATCAGCGTCTGAGGGAAACTTTCAAAATGGCTGCCCTCTAAATTCAGGTGGCACTTGTAGGGGTGGTCAAAGGAGTCAAGATGGTGCCCACCTTTTTACATGTGCAATATATCATGCATACAGAAGTTATCATTCTGCTATAAAAAAAGAAAATTCAAAACAGGTTTTTTATGTCTATAGAACTGTCCCAGGAAATATGTGAGCTTCCATATATCTATTATAGCCATAATGTACATTGGAAAGGAAACTATTTTGAAATAGATGCAAAAATGTGTTTAAATATAAATTATTTTAGAAATAAAATTCTGTGATTAAGCACTCTGAGACTGAGTTTTAAGAAAAACCTGGGATGGGTGCATTGAAACATTCATGCTTTGTTAGATGTTCATAAATACTAAGATTGCACATGGAAGACCTGGTTTGAAAAAGAAATACATCTCCAGAAAAGGGAAACAGGCTTCCTGCCAAAATACTTTTATTTGGTAGTCCTTGACTTACGACATTTGGGGGGAGAATTTTAATTTCTAAGGTTGCTGTTAAGTGAGTTGCGCCTGAATTTAACCTTTTTTCCTCACAGTTGAGTGAATCACTGCAGTCACTAAGAGATTCCAGTTTCCACCATTGACTTTCTTTGTCAGAAACCAGCTGGAAAGGTCACAAATGGTGATCAGGTGACCCTGGAACTGTTGTAAATAAATGCTAGTTGCCAAGTGCTCAAATTTTGATTATGTGACCATGGAGATGCTGTGGTGGTTCATAAGTGCAAGGATTGGTCATAAGTCACTTTCTTCAGTGCCACTGTAACTTCAATGAATGGTTTCAAGTTGAGGATTAATTGCATAGAGCAGTGACAGCTAACCTTTTTGTCGTCAGGTGCCAAACCCATAATGCAATGTGCGCATGACACCCACCCCTCCTACCCATGCACATGCACCCTCCCTGTGTGCACGGCAGATTCCCGACGATCAGCTGGTGGAGGACACGCTCGCATGTGCAGTGGACCTGATCTGGGGCAACAGCTCACATGCCGGCAGAGGTGGCTTTGTGTGCCACTTTCAGTATGCGTGCCATAGGTTCGCGCCATCACAGGCATAGAGCAATGTTTTTCAACCTGGGCAACTTCAGCTCCCGGTATTCCCATTTGAGAAACACTGGTAAAGAGTGTAAACACTGGCTTTTGTGTTATTTCCCCATCCTTCATTTAGTCATTAGATTCCAGCTTGTGCTACTTGCAGCATATTTTTTCTCATGTTTCTCTGTTTGAAATACAAAGATACACCTGAAAAGACCAAAGGTCTTTTATGTTGCTGCAGCAGTGCTATCTAACCCAGGAGTCCCCAACCCACAGTCTATGGGCCAGCACCAGTCCACAGCAGGCCAGAAACCAGACTGCGTAAACAGGCGAAGCCCCATCATGAAATGTAAGCACATGAAACCATGCCCCCTCTAGTCCACAGAAAAACCTCTCCAAGAAACCAGTCCCTGGCGCTGAAAATATGATCTATCAAGATACCAGCCTTTCCAGCTACTGGCCTGGCAATGTGTTGAGCAATAGCTCTCTTTGTCCCCAACCAGCAGAAGTCATGAAAGGGGTCAAATAAAACCATAGGTGGTCAACTAGTAATAACTGCTTCCCCCACTCCCAGTACAGATGTACAGCTTTTGGGGAGTTCAATACCAAGTGGCATGGGTCAAGAGATTGCAGGAGGTGTAATCCAAGCTACTAGGAGGACACGAAGCTACCTACCCCTGTTGAAAAAAATCTGCATTCCTTATATAGAGGAAACATGTTCAACCTTGAGGTTTTTCTGATATTAACTGACAGCAATCTTTTTATCTGTTAGGAACTTACTTCAGCAACTTTTTTAGAACATCCCATTCTTTAATAACCATGCATACATGCAACATATTAAGAATATGGCTAAGAATACTTTTATAATTGCTATATATAAATTGTACTTATAGGTCCTTAAGTTAAGAACACTTATTCAGTGATCAGAGTTACAATGGTGGCAAACAAGGGACACCTACAATTGGCCCAAGTTGAGGCTGTTGCAGTGACTGAGGTCATGTGACCAAGATTACACACTTGGTAAACGCCTTGCAAAACTGATGGCTGCAGCATCCTACAGTCAATCGGCACTTGCCACTTTACCAATTTACCACTAGACTGATAGATTATTGCTGCAATCATGAGATTACACTTTTTAACAGTATCGCTTAGCAACCAAAATCCCAATCCCAATTGCCATCATAATTCAGACTAATGTCAACGTAACAAACTTCCTCAATCCAGACTACAACTCCCAGCATTCCCGGTACTTTTACGCAAGATATCTGAGAACTCTGGAACAGAGCTCCCAAATTTTTCTGGCTTTGCAGAACCAATGGGTGGGGAGAGGGGATGGTTCCACATGAGCAGCCGGCGCATGCGTGGATAGTTCCATTTGCATGAATGGTGGGCCTGTGCACCCAACGCTCACGCCAATGGAGCATGCACGAACTCACTCGCCTCACTGGCTCTGCACACACATCGCTTCTGCGGCCGGGTTCTGAAAATCTCAACCCAGTAGTGAGATGCGGTCCAGGGGGTGGGGTTGGTGACCCCTTCTCTGGAAGACAAATAGGCAAGCATACGCTAACAATTCCAAATGGCAATCCTAGGATCTGAGCCACTCTGTTTTCACTGCATCCCGCTCCACTGTAGGGATGTATATGCTACAGTCCCTTCCTGCTCCACTGAACAGAGCAAGACTGTCTTCTTGACGTTGGTGCCAAGGCGTCCAGCACTGATGATGTCACACAGAGAGATGGGTGCATCCTTGGAAAAACAGAGCGCGATGTAATGGGCGTGGAACCGCATGGGATCACCTATCAAGGGGAGAGGGAAGAGTTAGCAAAGCAATAAGGCTGATCTCAGCATGATGTCCTCAACACTGGCTCATTAAGTAATATGAAAGAAAACCTACTTTATGTACTTTTCAATAGAAAAGCAAAAAATGTTCTTAATAGCTATTTGTCCTGCCAGAAAATTGCTGGAACAGTTTGCTGAGGATCTCTTCATAGTCTACATGCACAAACTCATTCTTAAAAGGCCCTGGGTAGGTACATTTAAATAGGCAACTTTTAATATCCAGAAATTAATGAAAAAAGGAGCCAGATATTCTTTAATACATGAGCTTTGGGAATGACCTATTATGAATGGCTTTATTTGACAGCCTTGTCTGCTAGATTATAAAGTCTCAGACATCTGGAGAATACCATATTCAGAAAATGGATTGTAACAGTCTTTGAAGAGGCCTACTTCACTCCATCTTTGTGAAGTCCCCATTCGCACTCCAATATCCTTTCTACTTCTGTTCAACTCACATATAGAATGACATTGTAATAAGCCATCATGTGCTTCTAGCTTAGCATGTTCTGTTTTACAATTCCCTATATGTTACAAGCCATGATTTATAGCTTAAAAGATTGGATAAATCCAAGGTATCGTGGCTTCACACCTGGGCGGGCCAGAGAGAACAGTGAAGGGACACCTGTATATTTGCCTTGCCTTCCTCACAGATAGAAAGTTTAAGCCATCATTCTTCACCTCAAGAGAATCAATATTGTTCCCACACACAAGCATTCTTGTAAAATCTCTGAGAAATCTGCTTTCACCTGGATAAACGAGGAAGTCACCTCCAAATTTGCTCCCAGTTGTGACGTAATAACCTCTTTCCCAGAGGTCCCGGAAAATGCTATAGTGCATCTCATGACGTTCTTGACCTGCATAAGGCCAGAGCTGGGATGCTACATGCCAGTCTACTGTTTCTTCTTGAGCTATCTGAGTCCGTTCAGTGGGGAGTTGGATCATCATTGATTCTCGGGGAAGCACAAAACAGGAACCAGACTCGGCAGGCCTTTGGAGGGGCTCTAGGAAAGGAAGAAGTAGTGATCTAATTTTTCATCTGAATGTCTTTATAAATGAACAGATTCCCACCCAGACATAATAGCTAAAAAAAATCCCACATGTTTCCCTCAGGATATAGCTGAACCAAAGTCCCTCAAATTTCTATAATTACATTTTTCTCTGCATACAGGTAGTTCTCAACTTTCGACCAATAGCAATCGTTCAAAGTGCTGACAGAGCTTTCTAGGGAGATATTTACAACCTGGATTCAAAGTTCCAATGGACGCCCCCTGTCACATAACCACATTTTGATTGCTCAGCATCTGGGCAACATTTGCAGTGTCCCAAGATCACATGGCTTCATTTTACAACAGTTTTGCCAATAAGTGACATTTACTTCCTATTTTCAGCAAAATTGGGTCCACAGCACATCGTTGCTAAATGACCCTGGCATTTGTTTAACGATCACAGCTGTTACGACTGTGATGGACAGTTTCCATTATGGTTGTAACTAGCGGATTATCTACACAGTGTAACTTTTTTTTCAGTCAAATATTGCAAAATAATTTGTCACTTCTGTCATAAATAAAATTCCACTTTGTATGCCCAGCTGTCTATCACTGTAAGCTGAAGGCTAGCAATGGTGGCCTCCAATAGGAGAAAGCGTGGGCAGAATTGTAGAGCAGGAGGTTCTATGCTATTATTAGTAGTAAAATCAACATCTAAATTTAATTTTGGATCTACTGCTGTGATACACACTAGCTCACCTTCTCCTTCTCCTTTCCGTTGCCATTTCTTTGCTCGGCCCTGGGTTATATGGTCTGCAAGAGACTCCAACATGGTTTTCTTCTGTTCTGCAGAGAGCCTCAGCTGCTCCTGGTAGTTCTCCTCTAGTTCTTGCTCGTAGGCAACCACTTTCTCTGGCACTAAGGCATCCTGGAGACACAAAGTGGCAAGCATACATAAGCAATCTTCCAGTCAGGTTGGCCATGCTGGTTAGGGATACTGGAAGCGGACATGATTGATAAACCTCATTCCTTTTTCTGAGCTCCAGAATAACTCCAAGCAGAGCTCTTATTTGCAGCAAAATGAGGTATCCCTTTATACACATATAAAACTTCTGGATCATACATGGAAATATTCACTGCCAACTGAAAAGTAATATAAAAACAAAATGATGCATTGAAATTGCTTTGGAATTTTTACTACCTTCTTTTTTTCCCCAACAGAACATTTGGGAGAGCTCCTATTGGCAGACAGAAATTATACACATCCATTAGCACTTAATTCTGCTGCACATATAGCTCAGGAAGCGAAACTATAAAACATAAAACTGATGCCAACTTCTTGGATGTTACAATTGTGATGTTACAATGATGTCTGAGCTTATTTTACCTTACTGCACAGCTGGGGAGGAAGTGGAAGAAAAAGGATAAATGGCTGTTGAAAAAAAAAAAAGAATACTACATCATAATTTCATTGCTGGAAGAAATTACAAGTAGACATTGATTTACAACATTTGTTTAGTGAGCATTTGAAATTACAACGGCACTGAAAAAAGTGACATAACTCAGACTTGTGACTGTCAGAGAGTCCCATGGTCATTTGATTAAAATTTGAGCGCTTGGCAACTGGCATGTATTTACGACAGTTGTGACATCCTGGCATTATGTGATTACCATTTGTGACCTTCTTCCAACAAGCAAAAGTCAACAGGAGACGCCAGACTTACTTACTGACTGTATGATTCACTTAATAACTGCAGTGATTTATTTAACGACTATGGCAAAAAAAGATCATAAAATTGGGTGCAACTAACAACTACCTTGCTTAGCAATGAATATTTTGGTCTCAATTGTAGTTGTAACTCAAAGCCCAAAAACATTGTAGACTATTGATCTCTACACTCTGCAGAGTTTGGGAACAAGGGAGCTTATCGTTCACTTTTAAATAAATAAATAAATAATGGTTGGTGAAATCATTACCTGGTTCTTCCCATGGCCAAGGGACTGAGATGTTGGGCTCCTAACCAGGGTTGCCAACCCCTTGTCCAATAACAGCCGAACCTCTTCAGGAAGCAGTTCCAAAGGCAGCCCAAGCCGCACATTCTGCCTCGGCTTCCGAGGCAATGCCCCCACCAGCACGCCGACAATACGATGTTCCTCTCGGATTCGCCTCGCATCTGCATAGTTCCACACAAATGCCTTTCCCTCCAAGAGGTAGATTCGGATCATGCCTGAGCCTGCAACATCAGAAGAGGATCCAAGTAACAAGTTATTTGGGTATTTTTTTTATATGGAAGGTGGAAGGCTCAGCAATTCCTGTGGATTTCCTAGTAAGCTTACAACCAGATAGTGATTTTTAACACAAACAAGCCCCTCACTTTCCTTTCCACTAGAAAAGCTCATTAACGAGGCTACCGGTGGCACTCGACATCTGGAGACAGTTTTTGAAGGAGCCCTTCAGATCTGGGTTAGGCTTAGCTAAGTACTTTAGAGTCGATTATTCGCAGAGTTCCCTTGTCAAAAGTTTATTTTTTCCTGAGAAGTAGGCGGTAAATATTTCAAAAGAGATTCACACATTCCACTAAGAGCTAAGAGCAAACCACAGGTAACAATCTTATGAACAGGGTCTGAAGCAGATGGCTTTGTTGCATGCTAACTTCTGAACAGATGAAGCAGGAAGAGGAAGGAAAGTAGGAGAAAAGGAGAAGTGTCTGCAGCTAAATTGTCCCAAATTGCATATTTACCTGAAAGTAGGACCCACTGAATGTCGGGGGGGTGGGTGGGGGCAGGGGGGTTTCTGATTACCTGTTTGTGAGATTATGCCTAGATTGCTTGATAGTGATTTTCCAAAATAACTCAATTAATCCACGGGTGGGATTCAATGGTGTTACTACCAGTTCGGTGACTGTGTTTTGGGCGCGTGTGCAAAAAAACCTAAGCTGTGCTACCCGGACAACTGAAAAGCGCTGCGCACAAGTGCGTAGCATTTGAAAAGCCACTTTTTTCCTGCTTTTTCAACCTCAGCTGTGCAGTGCAAAGCAGCTGAGGTTGAAAAAGGAGGAAATAAAGGACAGATAAGAGCCCGGGTGGGCGGGTAGACCAAACAGCAGCAAACACAGAACTGGTTCGGTGTCTGTTGCTCTTCAGAGCTACCGTCTCCATGGAGCCAGGCAGAACCAGTAGCATCACACCCTTGAATTAATTCCTGCATGAACTCCATCTTAGCTGGGACTTTAGCAGACTATACTAAACATACAAGGGTATCCTGTCCTTTTTCATCACAGGAAGAGCTTTACCTACTTGTCGCCCTCCAGAAACCTAACCCAAACAAAATGCAACAGATTGGAGTAAAAGTACCTCCCCAATTCCGGTAAGAGAACACTGGAGCTTCCAGTCCCTGCTCCAATCCTAAACTCAGCTATTTATGGATTACTATACGTCCTTTATCACACTGGTAGTCCTTGACTTATGATCACAATTGAATCCAAAATTTCTGTTGTTAAGCAAGACAGCTGTTAAATGAATTTTGTACCATTTTACAACCTTTCTTGCTGCAATTGTTAAGTTAGTAACATGGTTAAGTGAATTTCGCCTCCCCATTGACTCTGCTTGTCAGATCACAAAAGGTGATCATATGACCTCTAGGACATTGCAACCATCATAAATCTGAATCATTTGCCAAGCATCTGAATTTTGCTCACGTGACCATGGGGATGCTGCAGTGATTGTGTGAAAAGTGTGAAAAATGGTCCGAAGTCACTTTTTTCGGTGCCACTAAAACCTAGAACGGTCACTAAGCAAGTAGTTAAGTTGATTTTATAGGTAGTCCTTTATTTCAGAAAACTCACTTTGGTCCTTTATTTTGGAGCAGAGGTCTTCAAACTTGACAGCTTTAAAACTTGTGGACTTCAAATCCCAGAATTGACAACCTCTAAACCAAGTTGGCTCCCAGTTCAGACATTTTTATTAGAATATGCATTTTGTTAAGTTTTCTTGTTGGATTTGCTCTTGAGTTCTTCTTCGTAAACTAAAGTTATAAACACAATTTTTTCCCCCTCTTAATGCACCTTTTTCAAGTTTGCCCCTTTTCTTCCCCCAAGAAAATTTGCTCAACGTAGCTAGGCTCTCCTCTCCCTTCCCTTTATTACATCGGCAGCTCAAGCTTCCCGCGTTCGTGCAGACCGCACAACCGGGCCCTCTGCGACTCCCGCCCCCGCGGAGCTAAAGAAATTCTCCAATCACCTTTTTAAGCCACCGGCCGAGCAGGAAGAAAGACGCCTCCCCGAACCAATACGCAATGCAAGCAAAGGCCCCTGGCTGGTTTCCAGAGGCAAAGGAAGGAGCGGACGAAAAAGGGAACTGAGCGGGGGGGGGGGGGGGAGAAAGAGAGACAGAAAAATACAGACACGCTCGCACCAGAGACACGCGAGAGAGAGAAAGAGAAACGCGGCGCTCGCCGATCCTTTTGCAAAGCAAAGGAAGCAATTGCAAGAGAGACAGGAAGCCAGGAGGCGCGCAGGCGAGTGGGAAGATCCCCAATCAAGGCGTGTTGATCCCAGCCGGGGAGGCGGGTCTCGCTCTGCCCTTCCTCGCCCTGGATGTCGCAAGAAGCTGAGACACACGCACACCTCCTCGTTTGCCCGTCCTGCAAAGTGACCCCACTCCACCCTCCCTTGAGGGCAGCTTGCGCGTGGTGGAGGGGGGTTCCCTTGCAAAAGGTGAGTGCGCGCGTGGGACGTGGAGATTAAGGAAGAGGAAAATCGGGATGGAGTGGAAAGCAACGCGGATGGGGACGGGGATGGTTGGGCGCCCTAACTTCTAGGCGAGGGTTGCAACCTCGGATTAATTTTAAAAGGCTTCTTCCAACTTCCCAGCATCCTCCAGGTGAGGTGGGTTACCGTGTCCTTCGCCCCCAACCAACGTTGTAACGCAGGGCAACAAGAGGGTGCCGGATAGAGGCGAGAAGCTAGTCTAGAAATGTTTGCCTTGAAAGTGTAGCTAGCACAACTGTTGAACAGCCAATCATATTTTTTATAGACCCCAGATAGCTGCATTGAGCGTTTTTAGGTAACCCCGAGATACAAATTTGGTTACTTAAGGGACGGCAGGGCCAAACTAGATTTCTAGGTTATTTAAATCTCGATTTTAGATTTTTAGAAAGCAGGAGATTCTGAGTTCGAAGTCGCACTTTAGGTACTAAAGCCATCTGGGTGACTTTGAGCCAGTCATTCTCTCAGCTCAGCCCAGCCCACTTCTCAAAGTGATTGTTGTAGGGAAAATTAGAGGTAGAACATTATTGGGCATGTTTATCTCTTCGAGTTATTTATAATAATAAAGGTAATAATAATAAGGGTAATAATAATAATAATAATAAACAACCACTTAACAATATCTTTATCATGCTATCAAATATTTTGTTTTTGAAATTATTTTTTAAGTTTTGCCCTTTACTCCAATGTTACTGAGTTGTTTATTTTTTAAAAATGCATTGTACATCTCTGAGGTGGTAAATCTGAGACCCAGAGCACCTTCTGAGTGGAATGGAAGCAGGTAAGGAAGAATTTGACAGGCCTTAAATTATACTGTACTTATTTTTACAGTGTTGCCTTTTGACATAGAAACTATACCTTTATGCCTTTGGAAATTTATATGGTTGCACATAATTTCCCTGAAGTTTTGCTTGTCCTATTATTTAAAAACTCTTCTACATTCCTCCAAATTCTGTGGATATTTAACCTGAAAAGGAAATTCTCATTTTGTTTTCAATATCTCCTTTGGGCACATATCCTTGGCAACACAAACTCTATATGTTCCTTTAAGCTCTGGGCCATAACGTGCTTTTTTTTTTTTTTGCATCATTACAAAGCCTCTGTACAATTTGTTCTGTTTGCCTGTACAAGTGTACTTCCACCTTCTTCCTTGCTGGATTTTTTTAAATTTTATTTTATTTTACATTAGTGAGTTCTTAAGAACCAGCTGGACAAAGGGGCGTGTATAAAATCTGTTTGACTCACAAGAGGGTTTTGGATTCTCTAGACTTTCCTTCATCCAAATTGTTAACTAGTTGGAGAGGGTAGAAAAGAAGGGAAGGTAACTTGGTTTCTCTGGAGCTCTGATCTGCCCTGGTAAGTACATTTAGTGACAACCTCGCTTTTAAGGAGGAGTCTGACCTGTGGGGAGAGAAGCAAAAATTTGGGAAGACAGATTTTTGTAAGGAATAGCTGGGAGAAAGCAGGCTGGACAGAGAGGTGGAGTGGCTTGTGCAAGAGGGTGTAATCATGATTACAGGAAAGAGCTTATTTTTTTTGTAACAGTAGAGTAAAAGGTTATTTTGTAATCGTACTTAATCAAAAGCTTTCTTCTTGCTTTTTTCGTGTTTGCTTTTTTCTTCTTTCTTTGCTACTTTTACTCTTTAAATTTTAGTTTTGGTTTTTCTGTTCTTTGTAAAACTTTTAATAAATATATATTGAAAATTCCCCTAAAGGGTGTGTTCACTTTCTACTAGTGAGAAAGGAAGGTTTCTGTAGAAAAGTTCAGAATGCAGTTGTGCAGGAAATTCATATTTTTAAGGGTTGCAACAACGGGGAATGTTGCTCATTCTTGTCTATTCTCTTGAATTCTTCCTCACTTTTAGCATTCGGTATCCTCTGCTGCTGCTACATCTGTTGTTGACAGTGTGATCTTAAACTACTTGCAATGTATTCCTTTTTTAAGCTGATCTCTCTTTTTCCACCTTTATGCAGTTTATTCCTGAAACATGTTTCATCAATCCTAAGAAGTAAGATGTCTAAAACAGATAAAAATGTTTCTTCTTAACACCCTTAAGTTGTCTTTTTCTATTTAATGCAACAAGATCAGTCTTGGCAAAAGTTAGCATTCAAGATAATAATTCAAAAAGCACACATGTCCCTTGCTAGCATGCCTTTCTCCCTTCCCTTATTACAGAATTTATTACCCTGCTGATTCACTGCTGAAAACTATCCCAAATGGTTTCCAAGCAGACAAAGAATATAAAAAGAGATGTTGTACTTTTGCAGGCGTGGAGATGAAGTGCTAAAAAGAAGCATTGCCAGATTCCATTGCTGGTCTGAGCCATCAGAGATGAGGGGAGACGACCGCTCAGCACTTGAGTCTTGATTGTCTTCGCCTTTCTCGGTTGGGACTGCAATATTTGCTGTCGATTTTTCCTCTCAAGATTGACAGTCTTGCCTCTCTCACAGAGCAAGGTGGCAACAACTGGTTCACTTTGGTTGGTTCCAAAAAGACAATGAGTCCTGATTAACATTTAGATAGCCTGAGAGCTATAGGCTACGGAGAGAAGGGGAGGATTGTCTCAGAAGAGGCCTCAATTTGAATGAAGCTTTAGTAACCTTGCCTAACAGACTTAGTTGGCCTTTATGACTCGTAGATAAATAATTGCCATATCTTGCAGTGCAAATTAAATGAACCACACATTTTTAGTAGCGTTTTCTCACAAGTGCCAGATCTGCTTGTGTTGATCAACTTGGTTGTAACAGGAATTGACCAACCAGCTTGTTGCCCAAGCCTGATGTTGCGGACTGAGAGAAAGAAGAGAAAGATGATTGGCCCAAAGTTACCCAACTGGCTTTTTTGGCTAAGGTGGAATTAGAACTCACAACCTCTTGGTATTTAGCCTGGTGTTTTAATCACTAGACCACAACTGGTTCTCCAAGTTAACCACACATTTTGCTGAAAATAACTTGTTTGGGCCAGTATTGATTTTTAAATCTGTTATTAATCTCTTATTATATCAAAATAATAATCCCTTTTCCTTGTCATCAAGTTTTCATCCTCAGGTGGTCTGACTACCTGTTTTATTTTTCTGTATCGTGTGTAATGTGTATGCAGTCCAAAACGAGTAGATCACTTCCTCCCCCACCCCCTTCATCCCATCTTTCTCAAAAATCAAGTGTAGAGAAGGGGTCCCTGCCCTGTGCTCCACCTTTCCAGTATTTTTCACTTTCATGCAGGTTGACCTAACTCTCCATTTCTTGCCAGCTACAATGTCACCTGATGAAATTGTCTACTTGGTGGTCCTTCTCATCTCTATACCTGTTGGTTTCCTCTTCAAGAAAGTGGGTAAGTGTGAAACCTGGAGAAGGAAATGCTGCTAGGCACCTCCTAGGAAACTATCCTGAGGTTCATGTCAGGAGGCTTTGCCTTTAACTCCTCCTTGGAGGGCTTCCTGGTTTGAGCAAGCAAGCTGTAAGAAACGCATCTCCAAAGGAACTCTGAGAAGATGGGATATGAGATGGAGTGGGAATGGTGAGAAATAACAAACAATATATGGGATCTGGATATTAAGGTAATCCTTGATTTATGACCGGTGGCTTAGCAACTGTTCCAAGTTATGAGGGACCTTTCAAGGAGTACTTATGATCAAGTTCCAAAATTCTGATAGCCACAGGGCTCCCTCCCTTGGTCAGTTTGTTGGCCACTCAGCAATTGACTCATATTTAAAGCCTTTTGCAGCACTCCATGGCCACACAGGGCTGCATTGTATGACGATTTTGCTGAAAACCGAGATTTCCAGATTTTGGCAAAAACAATCCACAGCAAACAATGGATTTGTTTTTCAGCCATTGCTGTAAAAAAAAAAAAGGTTGCAAAAACAGGTCAGTCACATAGGTGACCTGTTTTGCAACCATCATGACTTATGACCATAATGGCCAGATTCCATTATGGTCATACGTTGAAGATTATCTGTATTTGCCATGATCCAAGAAGATTCTTGGATGAGAAGCAAAACATTTTAAAAGGAAAAACGAAGAAAGTCCAGTTGTCTTTTGGAAAAAAACATCTTTGGGATAACCATGGGTGATTGAGAATCTCCACTGGCAATTTTGTAAATTTTATTCGATGTAGCTTCTTAAAAACTATGGAGCTGGGTAGGTTGTACATCCAGCCAAGCAAATAAAGTCAAAGTCAAACTCACAGCCCAGGGTGTGCATCTTTAGACAATGGGAAAACGTGTTCCTCTCTTTTTTTAATAGGTTTGAAGACCAAAAAATATGGGGCAGCTGTTATAGGACTTGCACTTATTCTGGCGACTTGCCAGATCCACATTCTTCATTCTCTTATCACCATCCTGGGGACATGGCTTATTATCAATATCTCACCAAGGTAAAGCGACTAACAATTATTGTGGCTGTGAGGTGGTCTACATATGCAAATAAATACTCTGGGTACAAAGATGGGATTATACATTTCCCAAATTTCCTAAAATCTAAGTTTTTGTCTCTCCTTCCCCCCCTCCCCCCCCCCGGGCTAGGTAGGTAGGTTCAGGACTTTCAAGCAAGACTCTCAGCTCCTTAGATGATAATGATTAAGCAATTAAGCAAAACATTGTTTAGTAGAATGTGTGAATTAGTGAAAATCCCTAAGGAACTGCATTTATGGAAGTTAAAAAAGCCATGTATTGCTCATACAGGCATCATTAAAAACAAGTAAATGAAAGAACTGTCCCAAAACTGACCAAAAAGGTATCAAGAAAAGATGGTGAGAATATACAGAGTAGCTGTAAGTAGGTAGCAGATTCCTCATGATCATTTCGGCAAACGGGTTGAATAAGAAATGCAACTTTGTTGTACTCCATTATCTTAAAGCAATCGATGTCTCCATATAGTGTTCACACAGCGGGTTTCTGATTTGTGTACAACGATTGCACCAACTTGACCAAATTTGCTGGTGTTTTCAGGTCTTGTAGGGCTCTCCATAGTTTCTCATCACAATCAATACAATTGAAGGGTTCATTGTAGTTGGTGAAGCACTTGATATTTTGGTGTTCATGAGATTTTTCCATGATCTAGTGTAGATTTGCAGAAGGGCCCCTTCGAAAGCTGTCTTGCACATTTGGTAATTCCCTTCTGATGGTTGGCGCTAGACGATGTATAATTTTAAGCAGCATCTTGCTGATGTGAAGGATGAGAGCAATTGTGTAATAATTGGAGCAATCTTTAGAATTATTCTTTTTTGGCAGTGGAATGATTACTAAGCGTTTCCAATCCATGTGTTGGTTTCCCAAATTTTCTGGTACAGGTCTCTAATGACAGTGGGTGGTACGGATCTCTGTAAGTCTGCACGGATAGTGTCACCTGGAGTTTTATTGTTTGGCAGTTGGTTCACTGCTCACGTGATCCTTTCCTCAAGACTGGCCGCTTCTATTTCTATTTCTCTTGTCTCATCATGAGACTGAGCCTCTTTGCTACCTGCGTACAGCTATTCTGTATATTTTCACCATCTGTTTTTGATGCCTTTTTGGTCAGTCAGTTCTTCCCCTTAACTTGTTTTTAATGATGCCTTCATGAGCAATAAATTGTGCTTGGGTCTTCTTAACTTGATAAATGCAACTCGTTAGGTTTTGACTAATTCACACATTCTGCTAAGCAATTATTTTCTTAATTGTGGTAGGTTATACCTTTTTGGTTTACATAAAACTGTAAGCCACGATCCCTATTTTCGCAGACTATGATAAACCAAAACCAAACAAAGCATACCTCTAATGTTGGAACACAATTTTCATGTTAGGATTTCTGGTTTCTAAAGGTTATCTATACTCTCAAGTGGGCAGGATCTTGTATTCACTTCCCAGTGTTGTTCACATTAACTTGGCTGAAACAAATCGTGTAGTTTCCACTCGCCACATGATATCAGCAGGTTGGCTAGGGAATTCTGGGAGTTGCAAACCCAAACATTTTAAAAGTTGCCAAGGTTGAGAAACAGTGGGTTAGAAGAGTAGTTACTGTATGTCAGTTAAAGGATATGTATGTGTGTTTTTGAAACTGATGTAGAAAAGGGATTAATAATTTTAACCTCCTCCTCCTCCTCCTCCTCCTCCTCCTAAAAAACAGGACTTGTCATCACCTGACGCTGGGATGGACATTTTCCTACTTATTATTTTTCCGCACAGTTACTTACTTCAACTATCCAGAGCCAACACCATTCACCAATGCTGTGCAGCTTTTGCTCACTCTTAAGGTATTGGGCTATTTGGGGGATATTGAGAAGGAAGGGTGATTAGCGTGAAGAGGAAGTAAGGTTCCTTTTTCTGGAATATTTGTCTCCCAGCTGCTGAGCTTAGCCATTGAGGTACAAGAACTCATTCAGGCGAAGAAACAGGAAGTGACAACTTTCACCAAATCTCCAGTGATTGGTAGAGTTCTCCAAAAACCGGGGTTGGTGGAGATACTGTGCTACAGTTACTGCTACGTGGGGCTTATGACAGGTAAGGTGAACTGGCTAATAGGAAATGAAATGGGTCTACAGGTATAAACACATGTGATGCATCTTCCCTTTGGCAGCCTTATGAGCAGTGGGTTTATGGGCATTTTAAAATGTTGGCGTCTTCTCACCACATATATAAACATCAATAAGAAAAAGTATTGGGCTGAAGAGCTACTCTTTATTGTTACAATTTCTTTTTAAAGGAAAAGATAGTTAAGAGATCAGAGCAAGTTGAAAATTATAAAGCCCGTTCCAGTTTTGCCTTCTCATCTACTTCTCACATCAGCCACCTATTGCTCTTGGTATTGTGCATGGTCATTGGGTGTAAGTGTGGCCTCTCCTATTTTTTGCAGAAGTATGTTTGAAACTACCTTGCTGATCAGACAAAAATAGCTATTCTTCCCACTAGCCTACACACTTCACTTGTATAGCTTCTCCTTTTTTGTTTTGTGAGAATTGCATGAAAAATGGCCATATGTTGATGCTGCAAACATGAAGGCAGGAAATTACAGCAAAAAGTAAGATACTGGACATTATGTTTTTGTTGCCAGAGCTTGCAGGAAATCATAAAATTGTACAACTAGCAAATGCTTAGGGTAGTAATGACGTCTTTTAATCTTGCAAATGTGAATTTAGTTATTATTCTTATTAAATAATTTAGAAGTAATTCTTGCTCATTAATCTGACCTCCATTGCTTATGTCTGTTACATTGTAGTTCCCTTTTGTAATTTGTTTTCTGAATTAAAATCAGGCAACATCAATACTTTTTGATACACTCATTAGTGAAAGTCTGCCAGTTTATCTGCATTTAAATCCATAACTAGTAGATTATAATCCACCTATAGATTCTTTCCGTCAACAAAAAGGCAAAGTAATTTTTATTACTGTGTTGATCTCAGTTTTGTATGTAACTTTTATTAAAATAAAGTGTTTAAAATCTGGAAAAAAAATGTACAACTAGGAAATCCCTGTGTACTTCCCAAATTACACACAACCTTAACCTATCAAGCCTATCCAAAACAAAAGGACTCAGATCATATTGGGTACCGTATCTCACAACACTCCACTAAATAGCAGGTAGTTCTCGAGCTACAACTGTTTATTTAGTGATGGTTCAAAATTATAACGGCACTTAAAAAAAATTATGACTGGTCTTCGCACTTACGATCATGGCAGTGTTCCCACAGTCCCTTTAATCAGAATTCAGGTGCTTGGCAATGGGCATGTGTGTACAGTAGTTACAGCACCCCAGGATCATGTGATTCCTGTTTCTGACCTTTTCAACTGGCTTCGATTCCAGAAGCAAAGCCAATGGGGGAAGCTAGAGTTACTTAACAACCTTGTGTTTCACTTAATAAGTTCAGTGAGTCGCAGAAAAAAAATGAACATGAATTTGGACATGACTCACTTAAGAACTGCCTTGCTTAGCAGTGGAAATCCTGGTCCCATCATAGGGTTTCATAAGTGGAGGACTACTTATATTGGCTTTGGATTAAGAAAAATATGTGAACACAACTAGAAGAAAGCAGGTTATGGAAACAGTGTCTTAAGTAGAAATAGAATAACTGAAGGGACCTTAGAGGTCTTCTAGTCCAACTCCCTGCTTAGGCAGGAAACCCTACACCATTTCAGACAAATCGTTATCCAGTCTCCTCTTAAAAACTTCCAGTGTTGTAGCATTCACAACTTCTGGAGGTAAGTTGTTCCACTGGTTAATTGTTCTAGCTGACAGGAAATGTCTCCTTAGTTCTGGATTGTTTCTCTCCTTGATTAGTATCCACCCATTGCTTCTTGTCCTGCCCCCAGGTGCTTTGGAGAATAGATTGACCACCCCCACCCACCCCCCCCCACTCTTCTTTGTGGCAGCCCCTGAGATATAGGAACACTGCTATCATGTGTCAGCCCTAGTCCTTCTTTTCATCGGACTAGACATACCCAGTTCCAGCAACTGTTCATATGTTTTAGCCTCCAGATCCCTAATCATCTTTGAGGCTCTTCTCTGCACTCTTTCTAGAGTCTCAACACCATTTTTGCATCGTGGCGATCAAAACTGGATGCAGTATTTCAAGTGTGGCCTTACCACGGCATTATAAAGTGGTATTAAAACTTCACGTGATCTTGATTTTATCCCTCTGTTTATGCAGCCTAGAACTGTGTTGGCTTTTTTGGCAGCTGTAATTTAACTGTGTGTGTGTGTCACATTCTCTCTGGACTAGTTTTATTTTTCCTCAGGCAAAATGCTTCTCCCTTAAAATAGATATTAAAATTTCATTGTTTTCTGTTTTTGTACCCAGGCCCATTTTATCGCTATCGTACGTATCATGACTGGTTGAGCCAGATTGATTCTTCTGTTATCCCTAGCTGGCGGCCGATGCTTTACAGATTCAGAATGATCCCCATCTTTGGAATATTTTTCCTGGTTGTCTCCCATTTCTTCCCCCTTGATTACGTCCGGAGCAACGCCTTCTACGAGAGAGGACTCCCTTTTCGCCTCTTCTACATGGTGCCCATCTTCTTTGTCTTCCGTATGCGTTTCTACGTTGCCTGGCTTTGCGCCGAGTGTGCCTGCATTGCTGCCGCTTTTGGTGCCTATCCAGTCACTGCCAAATCTCGGTCAGGTGGAGGACCCACAGTGCAATATGAGCCCTTAAGTCCGTAAGTCAAGAACCTCTTCTTGGCCCTGCCTTCTCTAAAATACTTCTTCTGCTTTCCACACAGCACTAATAACAGTGAACTGTGACCACAGGCTTTATATGGTGGGCTACCTCTCACCATAAAAAGCACCACTAATTCATTAGATATAGTAGAGCTAAAATATTTCACCTTTTTTGTGAGGTTGGGACAGTTTAAAGGAAGTAGATGCACTGACCTTTGAAGAGGCCTTATGTCCACCTTTTCTTTATTTTTCATTGACATGTACAAATTGTGCCTTCGTGTGTCTGAGTTCTGCAGACCAATTTTGGAGTCATGAGAAGTTTCTTCTCAAATAAGAAGTGTGCTAATTCTAGCATGGGAATGGGATTTCCAAAGTCTCTCAGGATGCTGAACTCTTTCTGGTTCATATGATTGTAATTGACTTAAAACCCAGCTCTAATTCTTGCATGAAATTTAGCTGAGGCCCCGTAGTTCAGTGTTGGTTTCGTTCCAGGCCCTGAGGTTGCCCGGTAATACTGCCTGTTCTAAAACTAAAGTACAGCCACTATCTGAAGTTTTTGAGAGAGAGAAATGAAATGAAATAGCACTGGTTATTTCCATGTGACTTTTGCTGAAAACTGCTTACAGAAACTACATCCAATGTTGCACAGGAATAGCATCATTTGCTTTAGGACCATACAAAAAGTAAAAGCTAAGTCCTTCTGCTAAATGCACACAGGTAGTCCTCAATTTACAACAGTTCATTTAGTGACCATTCAAAGTTACAACAGCACTGAAAAAATTTATGACAATTTTTCACAGTTACAACCTTTGTAATATCCCCATGATCGTGTGATCAAAAGTCAGATTTTGGCAACGGGTTCATACTTATGATCATTGCTATGTCTCAAGGTCATGTGATCACCTTTTGAATAAAAGCAAAGTTAAAGGGGAAGCCAGATTCATTTAACAACCAGGTTACTAACTTACCAACCAAAATGATTCACTTAACTACTATAGCAATCAAATTAGTAAAATGGGGCAAAACTCATTTAACAAATGTCTCCCTTACAACAGAAATTTTGGGCTCAATTGTAAGTCAAGGACTACCTGTATAGACAACTATCATTTACTATTTTTAAGAAGTCTGAAGATCACAAACAAAAGATTCATTAGTAATACAGAGGACAACATAATTTAACAGAGCTAACCTTTCCATGACACCATGGTAATCTTTGACTTATGACCAGTTGCTAAACAACCATTTGATATTTTCACAGCCTGTAAAACACTTCTGTCTGTTGCAAAATGTTGAGGTTGCATCCACTCACCTACCAACCCCCACAGTTGCATTACAGGCACATGGCAGGCAACTTGTTCGCACTTATGAATGCCCCATGAAAAATGGAGACAGCTGCCTTGGTCAGGAAGTTGGACTGCAGATCTCCAAGGTCCCTAAAAGCTCTGATTCCAAATAGCTGAGTATAAACTTGTAGATTTTTGTTTAGTGTGTGTCTATATCATTTTGCCTTCCAAACCACAAGGTGTTCAAAACAAATGGTAAGTTTTCTCATGATTTAACACAGTAGGAGGAGAGCTGCATTAATGTATGATAGTCCCAATCAGAATTAGTTCATTTGAAAAGATAACTCCTTCTGTTAACAAACTAATTGACATTTTTAAGGTCAGCCTCATACATTTTTAGAACAGTTCTGGACATTAAAAATGCATGAAGGAATTAATTTTTCTCTTCTCTTACAAGCAGATCAGCTGACGGGGAAGCATCCAGTATTGCATATGATTATGAGACAATCAAAAACATTGATCCACACGGGACAGATTTTTGTGTCAAAATAAAGGATGGCATGCGCTATTGGAACATGACTGTCCAGTGGTGGTTAGCACAATACATCTACAAAAGTGCACCTTTCCATTCCTACATCATGAGGTGTGGCAAGCAACACTGGGTTCAAATAAAGTGTCATTCAGGGCAAGGAATAGTCTTTGAGGATGAAGTGATAGGCAAGTGAACTGGGAGGCATCAGGTTAGTTGGGTTGGCGTGAGAAGAAATCTTGCAGGACAAGGATTCTGGGACAGGAGGTGCTTCTTTTGAAGGTTCAGGGTGAACACTAGGCAAATTTGGGATGAGATGAATTAGGACCTGCCATCAAAAAAAGAGGAAGTCAGAAAATTTAAATAATTTATGAAAATCTAACGTCTTGAAGTAAACCCTGCAGCAGGGCTGTCAATCTCACATCATCACGGCGGTGTCACGTGATGTATTGGGACTTTTCCCCCCTTCGCTAAACTGGATATGGGCGTGGCCAGCACATGACACATCCAGCCCATGGGTCGGAGTTTGACAGCCCTGCCATACAACACTATGAGACTGATTTGAGTCACCAGGTGAGATGGGCAGTATAGACAATAAATAAAAAGCTGCATAATTGTTTCCCATTTTTTGTGTGCTCTAGAGCAGTGCCACCTCAACCTTTGCGGCTTGGCAGCCTGGTGGAGGGAGAAAGGAACTGGGCCGCACGCAGGCACGGGTCAACTTGCACAAGCAGTGGGCCAGCACACATACACATGCATGTTTAGCTCCACTTGCACAAGTTCAGCTGCACATGCAAGCCAACCCACTACTCGTGCGGCCTGATAGCAGATAGGCCAGGGCCAGGCATTGGGGACCCTTCTCTAGAGATGCTAGGTTTCAGCTTTCACTGTTCTCAAGCCAGCATAGTTTGACTGGGATCTTGAACGTCTGAAGGTTGTGACAGACGGAGCTAAATTTAGGGCCATGAGTTGGAAATGATCAAGGGGATATGAGGAATTTTGGGATAGGTGGGTTTAAAGGGATGAATATCGGACTGATCAGACTCTTTTCTTTTTAGGAATGCCTGGACAATGCTTATCTCGGCCTACTGGCATGGGATCCACCCTGGGTACTACATCAGCTTTCTTACCATCCCGCTCTGCCTACTAGCTGAGGGGGCCATGGAGAGTGGATTCTTGAAGCACCTCTCCCCGTCTGGGCGTCTTTGGGGTGACTGGATACAGTGGTTCATGAAGATGAGGGCCTATGACTACATGTGTATGGGTTTTGTGTTGCTCACCTTTGAGGATACTATTCGCTATTGGAGCTCGATCTATTACTGCATCCATGTGGGGGCTGTGTTTTTCTTCCTGCTGGGAACAGTGTTGGGGATCCAGAGGAAATGGGGCTCCCCAAAAGATAAACAGGGTGCTCCACAGAATCCCAAGCAACAGGAATGAGAGGGCAAAGTGATGTTGCTGTATGCCCACAGCAAGGAACGCTACCATAGGCCAGTGAGGCTAAGGGAACAAATAAGACTCGGTGCGAGTCTAGTTTTGATATATGTCATGACTTAGGTGGGGACTGAAGGAAGTAATCCAAGATTGAACTTGGAAATCCCTACTTTTGGTCTGCTTTGTGACAAGGCAATTTAGAAATCCTAAAAATATTGCCCCCTAGGCTATTCTACTTCAGGGGATTCTGAGAAGAATTCTGAGAAATACTGTTTTTACTCTCTTTTGTTAGATTTCTTTCTAGCTTTCACTCTAGTCTTATTTTTTCATTTTTCAAAGTTGAAACCTCAGCCATTTTATAGGATAGGGTAAAGGAATTACACCCAACTGGCTGTTATGGAACTACAACTCCCAAGAACTCCAGCCAAATTTAACAATATAGGCAATAAAATATATATTATAACTGCATAGCATCTGGAGGATCACACATTATCTGCCCTTTAGTCAGTAGGATTTTTAGTTCTGTAATACACATTCTGTAACTAACTCTTATTTTTATTTTCTTTAAATGTCATTGTAGCCTTGAAAATATCTGCATATATAGTGGAATTTCTTGAAAGGGTGAATCTGGGACTTTGTCCTGTGGTAGATAAGAAATGAGGCTGTCATATTTGAGCTGCAAAAATCAGGATGGTCATTAGAGGACATCTTGCATCCAATGATAATCCAGATTTTGGCAACTCAGATTTGGTAATTATACAGAAATGCTAAAATTTAACAAAAAATAAAAACTCCATCCAAATGTTTTTGATCACTTGTATGGAGAGATGTGCAAAAATGAATTAGGTCTCACAAAATCTTGAATTTGTGACCCTCTTACTCAAAGAGATGAGATTCTGGAATTCAACAAGATTTTCACAGGGCTGGATCCTGTTACACAAAAGTCGTGGAAAATATTAGTTTGCTAGTGCAGAGGTACAGGTGAGGCTGGTGGACTAGTAAAGAAATCAGATGTTGCACACAAAGACTGCCATATTTAAATATGTTACTGTTAAATATAAGGAACAAATGCATGTTTGATTTTTTTAAAGCTATGATATTTGGGGCTGAAAGGAAAGACTTTTTAGGACATATAGGGCTGTGTCTTATGAGACCTAAAATGTATACGCTGAGTATAAAGGGGTGAATTTTGGTTTGCAAAATGTAAACAAATATATTTACTACCAGAAAAATGATTGCTCAGGTAATATGTTTATGTCTTAAGGAAAACTATACATGAATCTGCTTATGTTTGCATTATTTTTGTTCCAAGCTAGTATTTTATTGGAAGGTACTTGGAAAATAAAATTGTTTAAAAAAAGAAAAGAAACACACAAAAACAGTAGTGTTTTGCAGTTACATCTTGCTGGTCCTGAACAAAGCAGCAGAAGATACATGTTGAAATTGAGAAGATCGGTCTCCTGTCCCTTAATCCAAGGAGCTGGATTTCAAGCGTCCTCTTCTTCCCAAAAAACTAACCATCGTCTGTAATGTGAAACAATGTCAAACATTCATACCAGTTCTAGTTCCTTTCAACTATCTCACTTCCCTGACCCATTCAGTAAATCAAATCAATACCGATGTGCATTGCAATTTTTGTCTTGCTCAAACCAAATCCACCCCACTCAGATCTTGCATCCTTCACAGCTCAGCCTTTCTTTTCCTGAAAGCCAGCAGAACTACTCCTTCACCAATCTGAATTCATCTCAGGTCCTCCATCATGCTGGTCATAGGGTGATCCCATCAGGATATGTTGAAGGATGTTTAATGCTTTTCTTATCAAAGCTTCTGGGCTGTTGCACTGAAGGGTATGAGTGACTCAGAAAACAGAAAGAAAGCTCATATATTGGTAAGAGGGAATGACTAGATTGATAGTGTATTCTACATCAGCGGTCACCAACTGGTGGGCTGCAAGAAAATTTTGATGGGCCACAGAGAAATCTCATCCCCAGAGCACCCCCCCCCCCGCCCAAGCAATTAATCCAGGCTGCGCAGAAACACAAGGCTGTGCTGCCCACATGGCCAGTGGGAACCCTCCCCGCCCACTCAACCTGGCAAACTTGTCTGTTAAGTTGCTATTTTTCCCGACCATCATCTGTTCTGTGCTGGGAGATTTAGATTAGCTAGGAAGCAGGAAATGGTTGGATTTCTTGCTTTCTAGCTAAGCAGAGCCGAACTTCCCTTAGGACTGAAGGTTTGCTTGCAAGCAAATTCAGTGCAGACTCACCTCAAGCAAATTTGAGACTGAGCTAGCCGATGGCAGATAGATCGATCACTCAATGATTCTGTGAGCAACTCAATCTGCCTGCTTTGCCTGATTTTGGATAAAAGTTGCTCTTTTTTTTTAAAAAAAATCAGTATTTACATGCATGGTGTGTTGTGAGTTAATTTTGTGAGTTTGCTTGCAAGCAAATTGTATGAGTTTGCTTGCAAGCAAACTCATAAAATTTGCTTGCAAGCAAACTCATAAAATTATGTTTAATTTTATGAGTTTGCTTGCAAGCAAATTTTGTGTGACAGACTGAGCTAGCCAGTGGTAGATAGATCTCTATGAATCTGATTCTGTGAGCAACTCAATTTGCCTGCCTGATTTGGGGTAAAAGTTGCTCTTTTTTATATAAAACATTCAATATTTATATAAATATAATATTTACATACAAGCCACGCCCAGCCAGTCACATGACCACCAAGCCAAACCCATAAATTAGGCCACGCCCACAAAACCAGTTAGCGGTCCCTGGGATTTAAAATTATGAGTTTGGTGACCCCTGAGGTCCAAAAAGTTGGAGACCCCTGTTCTACATAATGACTTCCCAAAAGCCCTATTTCAAACACTTGTTCACACTTTCATTCCTGAAGCTGCTTATACTTTTCAAAATAAACGTATTAAACGTATTAAAGTGATTATATTTGTATAATTTTACAATTATGCACACTTCCTTGGGTACAGCACTGAAGTATTCTTCCTAAAACAATTGTCCTATTTCCTTGTACTTTCTGCTCATTGCTGGAGTGTATTAAATCAATGGAATGATACATCTGGATAATCTGCAGCCATGGAAGAAATTTGAAAAGGCACAAGTTTTTTTTTTCCTGCTTTAATTTGGGAGTGGCTGATGGCAAAAAAAAAAATCTGCATTTTCTTTTTTTCAGCAAGATTCCTCCAGCACCAACACTGATCTTGTATTATGATGCTCTCTGCAGAAAGAATCCTAGGAACTGATAGTTTTCTAATTTTGATTAAATGTGAAATGCTCTTGCTTACAGGGTTGCAGAGCATTTTTTTTTAGTAACCTGGGGAAACTTGTTTGGGAAATCATTCCATTTGGATATCTGAATTCTTTTACGTGGAAATGTTGATTAGTAAGTCCAAATTACAGTCACAGGAAGCCCGCGACTTACGGCCTAGGGGCAGGGCAGCCTGTTCTTCCCCCAATGCTATCTCCAGAGCAAGGAGAGTAGATCACTCCGTCCCTTAGAGAGTCTTGGAAAAAAATGCTATGCTTAAATCTTGAGTTAAGTCTTGGTGGTCTGTGGCCATAGTCGGGGCCACTAAAGATATTCCTGGTGAAGAAAAGGTTGGCAACTAGATGACAGGGATCACAACCCAGATGGAGAGGTCAGGATATTTCTGGGTCTTAATGCCTAGATAAGGGCTACACCCAGGATTGTCTAATCAGATGTCATGCACACATTGGGGCAGGGTATCAAAGCTGAACTGGGGTTCAAAGTTACTACTTCCTTCTTCAGCTCTTGCTATCCTCCCCATCCATATTTGTGAAATGAGGCCAAGCCAGAGTGTTTTCTACTCTGCATTGGACAATACTAATTCTGATGATAATTCTTCATGACTGCCAACAACCACATGGACCCCAAGAGGACCCGCACAGGCATTCGTATTGCCATATGTTGCCTGACACAAAATATAGAGGAGACAAAGATTTGTATTGAATGCAGGCTGAGCAACACCACCCCCAACCAGGAGCTATCTAGGTAATATCCATCCTCTTGTCAAAAGAATTAGTCTTCACTTATTGAGCTGCAAAAGTGACCAGAATTTCACCCCTCAAAACTTACTTTACATTCCCTGTAAGATAAATGTAAAAATATTTTATCAGTCAAGCATGCACACCAGAACAACTAGACACAAGGGCAGTTTTTTCCCAAATGCCATCACTCTGCTAAACAAATAATTCCCTCAACACTGTCCAACTATTTACAAAGTCTGCACTACTAAAACTGTTAAATCTTGTCATCACTCCTTATCACCCATCCCCTCCCACTTGTGACTGTATGACTGTAACTTTTATCCTGACAATATATATTGACTGTTTCCTAGTATGATTTGTTTGCTTGTTGTACCCTATGACTATTATTAAGTGTTGTACCTGTTGATTCTTAACTCTTGATGAATGTATCTTTTCTTTTACATAGCATGTATCTTTTACGTTTTCTTTTATGAGAGCATTTGCACCAAGACAAATTCCTTGTGTGTCCAATCACACTTGGCCAATAAAGAATTCTATTCTATTCTAAAAAAATCAGACCAATAAGTCATAAGCATGCCCATCTGATGAGTTATTGGTGGCAGCTTAAGGACTGATGGTACCATGAAGGAGACATTGAAGTCCCAATTGATGGCAACCTCTGAGATATTTCTCAGTAGCAGAAGAAACCTGTTTGTGCTACCCAATTTGTTGTTCACCTTGTATGCAATTTTTGCTATCCAGTAGGTGTGGCAGTGGGCATCTCCATACAGTGCAGTATTTCTAGAAGGTTCAGTTGTTTTAAGTTGTTTTAATTCAAGAAATTGGGAACAGGGGAACAGTTCTAAATTCCTTGGTAAAACTCTTATCAAAGACTCCAGAAATTGTGGGAGCTTCAGCATTGGAGGTTTTAAAGAAGACTGGACAGCCACTGAAATAGTATAGGACAGTGATGTCTAACCTTTCTGGCACTGAGTGCCCAAAGCATGTGTGCATCCTGAAAATGCAATGTACGTGCATTCCTCATGCATGCCCCCCACCCCCTGCGCACGTGTCCAACCCCCACATAGGCATGCATGTCCCTCATGCATGTGCCCCACCCCCATGCATGCGCCCGCATCCCTGGCACGCACCCCGCATATACCCTACTTCCACACATGTGTGACAGAGACCCAAAGACAGCTGGCTGGTGGAAGGCACGCACACATGCATGGCAGAGCTGGTGCAATGGCTCACATGCCCACAGAAAGGGCTCTGCGTGCCATCTTTGGCATGTGTGCCATAGGTTCGTCATCATGGGTGTAGGATCTGCTTAAACAGGGAGCTGCACTAGAAGACCTCCAAGCCCAAGGTCCCTTCCAGCTCTATTTTGATTGACTGGTTGACTAATTTCTGTCAGTAATTACTGAATATAGAAGTTAGCTGGTCGGGGATGTAAAAGTACGGGATGCTTCTATATGGGCAACTCTAAATGCTACCTAAGCATTCTTCTGCTGAAAGTTAAATATAGTAATTGATTTATTTACATTTTGGCAAAGGGAAAGGTCATCCATCTCTGTTTACAGGCAGGAAATCCTTGTTGAATTACCATTTAGTTACATCAGTGAAGACAAAGTAACTTTGTGACTGTAAAGGTCTTTATGGGTTTTAAGATTTTAAGCACAGTGGTGCATTCATTTAGCTACCACCTCACTTAATAATCGTTGCCAGTCTGAAAGGTGATCAATAAACAAGGACTATCTCTACATGACATGCATTATTTAACCAGTGGGTAGGGGCCTGAACAATTCACCCCAGGGATTTTAATCTGCTTCCTCTTTGCATGGACAAACTGCTTCAAAATGAATGTGCATTTGCACAATGGCTTAAATAGATTACAAAAAATATTTTTAAAGTGTTGAAGAATAAATCAGCAATAAATTTCCTGACAGCTAGAACAATTAATCAGTGGAACAACTTGCCTCTAGTTGTTGTGAATGCTCCAACACTGGAAGTTTTTAAAAAGATGTTGGATAATCATTTGTCTGAAATGGTGTAGGGTCTCCTGCCTAGGCAAGGGGTTGGACTAGAAGACCTCCAAGGTCCTTTCCAACTCTTATCTATTCTATTCTATTCTAAATCTGAAGAAGGGACAGAGTGCTAAAATTGTGCTTACAAAAAAGTCAAGGATACACAACATGACATTTTTGTTTTTAATCAGTGTGTACAGGAACATTTTATTTGGAATATTACATATATATTTCAATGTCACTGTGACTCTGTAGAAAGATAGCAGCCACCCCTCTCCTAGAAGAGTGAACCATTCTATGAAATATTTAAAAGGCAGAATATTTCCCCTAAAAGATAAACAGAAATCTTAAGGAGACAGAAATTCAGCCCCAGCAGATATTTTGGTGCCAGCTTATCCACAGGACAAGGTTACGAGGGAATGTTTTAAATTCATTTACAGGAAAAAAAAAATCATTCTTGCATTTACTGTATGGTTTTAACCGTCCATCCTTTTTCTGAAGCATGTGAATCCAGTTTTTCTTCCTTCCTCATCTATGATGTCTCCATTTTGTTATAACTGCATCTGTTTAATAAAATATCTAGTACTGATGTTTTTCCCCTCAAACTCTGCCTGAAAGCTATCTACCCACCCACCCCCATCTCTTATTCTCCTACAATGCCTTTCCTCACCCACAAAGTGGGGAGGGGGCCTTGTTCTTGTGTTGCTGATCCAGATGCTGCCTCCAGAGGAGACCTTCCATTCATTTGAGCCAGGAATAGGGTTTAAATCCAGCCCTCCAGCAGAAAGTCATCACAGAAACCAGCATGGGGCAGACCTCCCCAAGCCTGACTGACCACCCTGACCACCAACCCAAGCCTAATGCCACCCAGGAGACATGAAAGAAAGGACCCTGAGATGGACACGCAAAAGATTAAAAGACTCTTCAATCCCCAGAAGGCAGCTAGAAAGACTATGGGGGAGGGTGGAAATTCATTGTAATTTTTTCTTTCTTGTCTCATTTACAGTGTACTCAGTTAAATGGACTCTGGGGAGTTGCATTTGGGAGTGGTTGACACAGCAAGTTCTGAACATCTTATATTTCTGTCTGGTGGGAGGGAAATTTGTCCAGAATGTATATATTACCTGTATTTTAGAAGTAGCTGCATATGCAAGCACACACACACACACACACACAGACACCCCATTCAGAATCGGACTGAGGCTATCCCCTTCACCTATCATCACACAAAGCTCTTCCTAGGTTGATTTTTGCTTTGTGGCACTAAGGCCGAAGCAGTCATACCTCCCTGCCAATTCCATGGGAGAGGGGGCATGCCCTTCAGGCAATTCCTTCACTGAAGAAGTAGCAGAAAAGAGATCCAAACCCCAAGCCCCGATTGTGACTCACAAAAGATGCTGCCCAGTTGCCCCATAAAGCAGGATATGTTGCACTGCTGCTCTCATGAGTAGGAGTCCCAGGGTCATTGTGTGTAATTTTAAAAATACTAAATAGCCTGGATTGCACACTGGCTAAGCTCAATTTGGCCTCACAACCCCTGGAAACTAAGAGCTAGGGCAGGTTTAGTAACCATGGGCAGCCTGTAATTTAAAGGAAAACCATGGTTGTGAAGAATTTTGGGACTTGTGCTTGCTTGAAACCTGACTGGAAGCTCACCTAAAGCGACATCATACCTCTGAAAATAATTGGCATGGAAAATTGGATACTGTAAATTTATTTCCAGAACTTTTGTTCTGGTTGCTAGACCTTCATGGCTGAAAGTTCCCCTTTTGGGAGCCAAGAAATACTTTTCTGTTCCTTTGTAATTGTACCCCACCCCCCCGCATTCCAGAGCTGTCTTAAGTCTGCAGTCCTACTCCTCCAAAACACAGCAAAAAGGAGAAATAGCTTTCCTTAACGATGGTTCAAATTGACCATGAGTATCAAATATATTCTGATGCCACCCTGGAATGTGCTGATGGCAAAATAATTGGCAAAAAATATTTGCCCGAGCACAAAAGGTGAGTTTATATAAAGTTATGCACCCACCCCTCTCTTAGAAGAATGAAGTATGCTAGGAAATATTAAAAAGGCGAAATATTTTCTCTAAAAGAGAAATAGAAATCTTAAGGGACACAGAAACTCAGCCCCAGCAGATATTTTGGCGCCAGCTTATCTACAGGACAAAAGTCTGGGCCAGCTTATCTACAACACAAAAGACCTTCACCTTCAAGACATTATTTATTTATTGAATTTATATTGCCGCCTATTCGCCCATGGTGACTTGAGGTGGCTTACAGAATGTAAAAAATCATATTTAAAACAAAAAAGAAAACTAACAAAAAACTAAAAACTAACACTAAAAACTAACAAAAAGAATCAAATAAATTAATAAAGTACAATAGAACAAAATCTGGGGGGGAAATCACCCCCCAACTCCCATCCCCCACCCTGACGACAGCAGATCACACTAGCCATTTGATAGGCTCCATTCTGCTCTAGGTTCCCCAGGCCCACTGGTAGAACCAGGTCTTCAGTGCCTTCGGAAAGAGTGCTAGAGTGGGGGCCATTCTAATCTCTGGGGGAATGATGTTCCAGAGAGACGGAGCCACCACAGAGAAGGCCGTTCTTCTGGGTCCCACCAGGTGAATCTCCCTCAGGGATGAGACCCGCAACATTCCCTGCCTCCCCGCTCTAATGGGTCAGGTAGATGTGACCAGCAAGAGACCTTCCCTCAGATAACCTGGTCCCAAGCCATGAAGGGCTTTGAAGGTGACAACCAGCACCTTGAATTGCACCCGGAAGCAAATCGGCAATCAATGCAGCTGCTGCAGGAGAGGTGACACATGTGCACACCAGGGTCTACACAAAATCATGCAGGCCGTTGCATTTTGCACCAACTGGAACTTCTGGCTGTTCTTCAAGGGCAGCCCCATGTTGCAATAATGAAGACAGGACACTCGGGCATGACTGACTGTGAGTAGGGACCAGGAAAGGATGTAACTGGTGCACAACCCGCAGTTACGCAAAGGCCCTCCTGGCCATGACTGCCACCTGATCTTCAAGCAGGAATCGTGACTCCAGGAAAACCACTAGATTATGCACAGGGTCTGTTTGGGGTAGTGCCACCCCATCCAAGACCAAAGGTGGCAATTCTCCCTGAGCCAACGAACCCCAAACCCAGAGCCACTCGGTCTTGCAAGGGTTTAGTTTCAACTCATTGCTCCCCATCTAGCTCCTAACAGCCTCTAGGCACTGTGAGAGGGAGGACACAGCAACACTCAACTCACCACAGGCCGAGACATACAGCTGAGTATCATCAGCATATTAGTGATACCTCAGTCCATGGTGACGGATGATCTCACCCAGCGGCTTCATATAAATGTTGAACAGGAGCAGAGAGAGTACCGAGCCCTGGGGAACCCCGTAAAGCAGTGGGCAAGGGCTGGATCTCTCCCCTCCTATCAACACTGACTGAGAGCAGACGCAGAGGAAGGAAGTGAACCAGGATAGCACAAGGCCTCCCGCTCCCATCCACCAAAGCTGCCCCAGAAGAACTCCATGATCTATGGTATTGAAAGCTGCTGAGAGGGCAAGTAGAGCAAGGGTGGATGCACTACCCCCATCCTGCTCCCATCAGAGATCATCCAGAAGTGTAATCAATGCCGTTTCTGTCCCAAATCCAGACCTGAATCCTTACTGGTAAGAGTCGAGATAATCCATTTCATCCAGAAACCTCTGGAACTGCTGCACGACCACCATCTCAACAACCTTCCCCCAAAAGGGAAGATTGAAGACAGATTGGAAATTATCCAACCGGGTGGAGTCCAGCAATGGTTTCTTAAGAAGAGGGCGGACCACAACCTCCTTAAAGTGCTGTAGGGAAGCATTAATCACTGCCAGAGTCCACCTATTAAGTATTGAGGAATGAGAGACCAAACCAGAGCATTTCCAAGTAAAGGCTTTATTCAACAGAATAAAGGGCTGTCGCGTCTGCATACTAACAAGCAGACATGCTCCAGCGAACAGCGACTGGCTCGACCTAGCAGCCGGCTTTTATAGCCGACTGTCGAAGGGAGCCAGCCAATGGGAGCTGTAAACGCCCCCGCAGTATAGACGGACTTGATTGGGAACTTTGGTCAGTTCCAAGGACATAACACCCCTTCCCCCCAGATGCGAACATGAATAGTCCTTTAAATATGCAGGGGGTCTGTGTGAGCGCCCGGACCGGCGCAGTTCGGGTGAGTCACTGAGTGGAACAGAGTTCCTGGAATCAGGACTGGTGGGTGCACGAGAGCGGGGTTGCTCTGGAACCTGATCAGGTGTCTGTGAATAGTCTCTGCCTCCGGGTTGGGTTGTAGAATAGTCATTGTCCGGCAACCCGGTGGCATCGCTGGTCGGCAAAGCTGGCGACTCCGGCGGACGGTCCCGGTCTACCGTCCGTTCCTCTCACTCGGTCTGTGGTGACAGGCCACTCAGCTGGTCCCCGATCGGATTCTGGTGTGGCGACTGGGGCTCAACAGGAGTCCATGGTTCAGCATTGGCATGCCCACTCTGGCGCTTTCTGATCTGGTCCAGATGTCTGCGCCAGACTCGCCCGTCCTCCAGCTGAACTTGGTACGACCTCGGACCGGTGATGGCCACGACTCTCCCAGGTACCCATAGCGGATCGCTGGCGTAGTTCCTGACAAACACTGGGTCCTGCAACACAAAATCTCTGACCCTGCTGTCAGACCCGATAGGAGTGTCAGGGCAATAATGGGGATGCAGCCTGTCTAACACCGTTCTCAGGCGTCTGCCCATTAGGAGCTCGGCAGGCGACTTGTTTGTAACCGTACAGGGGGTCGTGTGTTGGGTCAAGAGAAAGCGGGAAAGCCTAGAGTGCCAGTCCTCTTGATTGAATCTGGCCAACGCCTCCTTCGTTGACCTAACGGCTCTCTCTGCCAACCCGTTGCTGGCAGGATGAAAGGGGGCCGTTAAGATGTGCCGGATGCCCAGGTTGGTGACATACCGGCTGAACTCTGTAGATGTAAATTGGGGGCCATTGTCCGAGACTAAAGTGTCAGGCAGCCCGTGTGTTACAAATAAACGGGTCAGGGCTTGGGCGACTGCCCGGGTGGTGGTCGTGGGTAGAAGGGCCACATCGATCCACTTGGAAAACGAATCCACGACCACCAAGAAGGTCTTGCCGTGCATTGGCCCGGCCAAGTCAATGTGCAGCCGTGACCATGGCGCGTTGGCGCTCTCCCACTTGGTTGGGGTGGTAACTGGTGGTGCTGGCCTGGATTCCTGACAGGGTCGGCAAGAGCTTACCCATTTGGCGATCTCGTCGTCCATGCCCGGCCACCAGACGTAACTTCGAGCCAACGCCTTCATCCGGACGATGCCAGGGTGACCCTCGTGCCGCGCCTTCAGGACAGGTGTGCACAGGGAGCTTGGGATGACGACCCTGGTTCCCCACAATAGGCAGCCCTGTAAACTGGAAAACTCTAACTGGCGGATTTTAAATGGTGTGAATTCGGTTGTGAAATTAGTGACCGGCCACCCCCTCCGCACCCAGTCCAGAACCTGGGCGATTGTTTTGTCTTTTTTGGAGTGGAAGGCGATGTCGCCTGCGGTGACAGGTAGTTTGAGCTCACTGACATCGAAGATGGCGTGGACCGGAGCCGGGTCTTCTACCGGGGTGGGCAGCGGGCAGCGGCTGAGGGCATCGGCGTGGCTGAGGTTTTTTCCCGGCCGGTGAACGAGTGTGTACGAGTAGGCTGCCAGGAATAAGGTCCACCTTGTCATCCTGGGTGACAAGACTTGGGGTGTTTGTTTGTCCCCCGATAGTAGCCCCAGAAGTGGCTTGTGATCCGTGACGAGTTCGAATTTATGACCAAAAAGAAATTCATGGAATTTTTTAACCGCAGCAACTGCGGCAAGAGCCTCTTTATCAATTTGGCTGTAGTTGCGCTCGGTTAGTGACAAGGTTCTGGAAAAGAAGGCGATTGGTGCCTCAGAGCCATTGGGTAGTCTGTGGCTTAAGACAGCCCCGATCCCGAAGGGGGATGCGTCTGCTGCTAAGACTAAAGGGAGGCGCTGGTCGAATTGGATTAGGACAGCGTCTGAGGTGAGCAGCGATTTGACTGCTTTAAAGGCATAGTCCTCTTTGGGTCCCCAATGCCATGGTGCATTTTTGTCTAGAAGTCTGTGTAACGGCTCGGCAACTGACGCTTTGTGGGGTAGGAACGAAGCGTAGAAATTTAATAAGCCTAGGAAGGCCTGTAATTCAGCCTTTGTGGAAGGTGTGGGCGCCTCGTGAATTGCTTTGACTTTGGATTCTACCGGGTGGATGCCAGAGGCGTCTATTCTATACCCAAGAAAGTCCACCTGTTTAGTGGCGATGGCACACTTCTCCCTTTTTAGTTTGAGGCCATGCTGTCTGAACTTGTCTAAAACCGCTCTGACTCTTTGGAAAAGTTGGGGCCTGTCCCTGGCTGAGACCAATATGTCATCAAAGTAAGGAACCACGCCAGGGAGGCCTTGGAGTATACGTTCCATTAATGATTGAAAAATGCCAGGGGCAACACTAACGCCAAACTGGAGACGCCTGCACCTGAATGCCCCTCTGTGAGTGACAATAGTTTGTAAATCGGCCGTTTGACTGTCAACAGGAAACTGCTGATAGGCCTGAGACATATCCAGTTTGGCGAAAATGGTGCCAGGCTCAAATGTGTGGAGTAAGTGCTGGATTACCGGGACTGGGTAAGCGCTAACCTGTAGGTAGCGGTTAATTGTGGTCTTATAATCAGAACAAATTCTTAAACTGCCATCCTTCTTAAGGGGTGTGACAATTGGGGTTTCCCATTTAGCAAAATCCGTGGGCTTAATCACCCCCTGTTTTAGTAATTTGTCCAGTTCCGCGTCCAGTTTAGGGCATAGCGCAAATGGTACTCTACGCGGTTTTAAATGGACGGGAACTGCTTGGGGGTCCACTGAAAAAGAAATGGGTGTGCCATTGTAACACCCTAATTCGTTGCTGAACACATCAGCGTAGTCTGCAAATAGGGAGTCAATGTCTGAAGTTGAGACAGCATGGACTCCCGTTAAGCTAAGACCGAGATAAGGGAACCAATCCAACCCCAACAGACTAGGGAGGGCACCGTCAATGACCACTAAAGGCAGATGGCCTTTAAAGGATTTGAATTTAACGAGGAACTTGCCTTTGCCGAGTACTGGAATGTTCTTCCCCTGATAGTCCCTCAAGGTGAGGCGACTCTTCTGGAGCTGGTTCCTAGACAAGCTGGGTCGTATTTTCTTAAGAGTGTTCCATGAGATGATCGAGAGCGCTGACCCAGTATCGACCTCCATGAGACAAGGTTTACCTTCTAAATGAATAGAAATTGTGATTTTATTAGGTGTCAAGAAAGTGTGGTTAGCTTGATAGCAAGTATAACAGTTTTCTACTTGCCTTGGTGGCTCCGGGGAAGAGTAAGAGGACGCAGACCTTTGTGATGCCACGTGTGCCGCCTGACAGGCTCTGGCGATGTGACCTTTTTTGTTGCAGTTGTTGCAGGTAGCGTTTCTGAATCTGCACGCCGTCCGGGCATGGGGACCCCCGCAGGACAGGCATAACAGGATGTGCTTTGGTGCGATGCTGTTTCCGTGCTTTGTCCCTACCTGTGATTTCCTCAAGGGTTTGAGACGATGAACTTCTGAATGTTCAATGGGGTCTTCTTCACTCACCGCTTCTTCGGAGTGAACAGTGGCAGAGCTGGGTTTGGGAGTAGTCCCTTGGATTTCAGCGGCTGACTGGGTTGCTAGTTCCGCTGCTAAGGCTTCTTCAACTGCTTGGGAGAGGTTGAGATCTTTTCTGGCTAGTAAACGCCTCTGTAGTTTTAAGTCTTTGACCCCACATACGAGTTGATCGAGTAACATGTCATCCAGGTAATTTTTGAACTCGCAGTGGAGAGCTGCTGTCCTCAGGGCGGCCAAGTATTGATTTATGGATTCCCCATCTGCTTGCTTCCTCATCCGGAAGGCAAAACGCCTCGTGATCTGCGAAGGTTTTGGGGAGTAATGATTTGAGAGCGTTTCCAGCAGCTCTGGCCATGGAACGGTCTTGATTTCTCGTGGAGCAAGGAGGGCTGTTGTGGTATCGAAAACTGCTGCTCCGCAGTAGCTGAGGAAATATGACTTAATTCGGTGTTCCGCTGCGTCAGCCAGACCGATGGCATCTATATAGTGATTGAACCGGCTTCTGTAAGAGTCCCACTTCTCTTCATCCGGTTTAAAAGGCGGAAATGCTGGGTTAGCGTTCATTTTGGCGCCTCAGACAAGGGTAGACTGCCCTCTCTCTCTGGGTATATGAGGCCCAATACGTGCTCACGTGAGCGCAGGCGGCTGTGGCTGCAGTGGTTCACCTGGCTCAATGATTTCAGCTCTTTGTTAGTGAGCGTTAGAGGCTCTAGCTGTAACGCTGTGACTATCAGCAATCTTTTTTTGAATCTCGCGCTCCGGAAAACGTTGGCGGATGCACTGACAGAGATTCAAATTTCACGCTCTCAGGGCGCGTGGGTGGCTGCGGACACAGCGTCGGGCTTCGCTTTGGTTTCGAATTCAAACGACAGCAGTTTGAATTCCGCGCTCTTTTCCGAGCGGGGCGGCTGTAGCTTCAGCGCCTGACTTCACACACTCTCTCTCTGTAGCTTTCAGTGCGAGCGGCTACAGACGCTTCACTTTCACTCAGCTAACTAGCGAACTGACCGAGCTCTCTGCTTCGCGGCTGTGGTTCAGTTGCTATCGTGATTTCAGCTCAATGGAATGCTTCTGGTTAGTCAGATCCCATCCTCGTTGCCAGTATTAAGTATTGAGGAATGAGAGACCAAACCAGAGCATTTCCAAGTAAAGGCTTTATTCAACAGAATAAAGGGCTGTCGCGTCTGCATACTAACAAGCAGACATGCTCCAGCGAACAGCGACTGGCTCGACCTAGCAGCCGGCTTTTATAGCCGACTGTTGAAGGGAGCCAGCCAATGGGAGCTGTAAACGCCCCCGCAGTATAGATGGACTTGATTGGGAACTTTGGTCAGTTCCAAGGACATAACACCACCCACCTGTCACCTCCTGGGAATCTTTCATAAGTCAGGAGGCACATGGGTCTAAAATACAGGTGCTCGCGTGCATACTCCCTAGGATCTTGTCCACTTCCTCAGGAACAACAGGGTTAAACCATTCCCAAATAACAGGGCAAGAACTTGCCTCAGGATTTTTCACTGGGACAGCAACCATGCCGGCATCTAAATGGGAATGAAGTCGAGTGATTTTGTCTTCCAGAAAATCTGCAAATTCCTCAGCGCTCCCCTTCAGGTGGACCTCAATCTCCTCCTTCCCTAGGAGGAGGAGGCTCACCTTAAAGAGGGTTGCTGGGTGATTATCTACAGATGCAATTAGTGTGGAGAAGTATTTACACATTTGCCACACAAATCGCCACGAGGTAGGCCTTAGTAACAGCTCTTACCCATGTTCGATCGAGTTCATCTCCTGTCTTCCACCAGCGGCGCTCTAGATGTCTCCTCATGCATTTCATCCTTTTCAGTTCCTCTGTATACCACCGGGCACAGAGAGGTCTATGCATGAGGAGAGGTTGCAAGGGTGCAATCCTATTCAGAGCCTCAGTCACCTTCCTATTCCAAACAGTGACTAAGAGCTCGGCTGGACTGCACAGTAGATCTGCAGTTATAACCCCCAGCTCCTTCTGGAACGTATCTGGATCCATTAGTCGATGGGGGCAGACCAATCTAATAGGTCCTGCTTCCCTGCAGGGCAGTGTGTGTGCAGCTTTTGAAAAACTCATGGCCACCAGACTGAGATCCAACCATGACAAGGACAGGTCCACCAATTCCAGGTCACATGGACACTGCTCTGACAAGAACACCAAATCAGATGTGTGACTACTATTACTACTCGGGCTCTGGATGATCTGGGACAGGCCCATGGAAGTTATGGTATCCATGAAATCTTGGGCTACCTCCGCCCCTGACCCTAGAGAAGGCAGGTTGAAATCCCCCAGAACTATAAGCCTAGGGAATTCCACCGTCAGCCCTGCGGTGAGGTCCAGGAGTCCACATAGGGAAGCTGCCACACAGTAAGGAGGCTGGTACAGCAGCAGCAATCCCACCTGGTTCCTTGAGCCCAACCTAAGAAAAAGGGTCTCACAGCCGGGCGCTTGTGGAACAGTGTCTCAGGAGACCACTAGAGATTCTCTGATAACAACAGCCACACCTCCTCCCTGACCCTGAGGTCTAGACTGGTGCCAAGCTTGATAACCCACTGGGCATATTTCTACAAGGTAAACGTCTCCCTCCAGGCCCAACCAGATCTCGGTTATACAAGCCAGATCAGCCTTCTCTTCGAGGATCAAATCGGCAATAAGGCTAGATTTATTGCAGGCTGATCTGACATTTAAAAGCAGCAGTCTAAGACCAGGGCCACCACAGATCTGCTGACCAGGAAAATGAGGTTGGTGCAAGGGGACAGAACACCAGACTGGTACTGAATACCAAGGTCATATTCCCCGTTCCTGCCCATCCCTTGTCTCCCATATCCATGATGGATTAGCCCTCACTCAGGTTCAAACCAGGACAAAGCCGTTAAGCCATAAAGGGAATTACCCAAAGCCCTTTCATGACATCACCCAGCAAGATTCAACCAAGTCTGGGACTCAAGACAACCTACAAAGTTACACCTGCATGGCCCCATGAGAGTCTGACAACCAATCAGAATACATTTCTTGCCACAGGAACAGGAAGCAAATTCAAAGTGCAATAGAGGGTATAAATCTCTCTCCCTCTCATACCCATGTGCTCAATTTTGCCCAGAACCTCAAACCATGTAGTCCTGTCTACCATTAAACCATCCTTCCAAGCAGTCTCCATGTTTCCAGTGTCTTTATTTCCACTTGGAACTGAACCTAGATGGACATTTCTTCCAATATCTCAAAGATGCTTTTTTCTTCAAAAAGCAGCTGGACAGCTTTAAGAGTTGTGGACTTCAATTCCCCAAATTCCTCCTCCAGTGATGTTAGCTCAGGAATTCTGGGAGTTGAAGTCCACAAGTCTTAAACTTGCCAAGTTTGAAGACCCTTGCACTTGGGGGGTTATCTGTGCCCTCAGGTTCACCTGAATCAAGGTGCAATTAGTTGTGTAATCTTCTTGGAATTGCTGAAAGGGCTGCGTTGTGGACTGGAGACAGGTGGTGTCTTAGTTCTCCCCTTCTGTAAGGGAGAGCTGTCCAGTTCTGACACAGATGGATTCTTTTACCTCTCTTTCAAACCAATGGTCCTCTCTATTCAAAATGTGGACTTTTTAACATAGATAGAAAGTCCATACAAACAAGCACGGTGGCAGAAATTAACAAATATATTTTAAAAATTAAACATGTTAGCATGGGTCAGATTAGGTAAGAAGAAGCCACTCCCCCAAAGAAACAAACAACACAGGCATCCGATCTTGCCTGCTACTGTATCAAATCATTAATTACTTCTTACTTATGGGATTATCTGGTTTATACATCAAATTACTACATTACCCAGAATCCTATTGGCGGCATAAAAAAAAAAAAAAGCGCCGATACGGTGGCCTTCGACAGACAGGTTCGAACGCGCTATCTCGCTTCATCGGGTTTGGCTCTAGAGTTAATTGGTGCAGAAGAGCGGTAACCCCGGGATGATTACTGAAAGTTGTGTTAATACTACAGCAACAGCCTCTCAAATTGATAGATGTAATTTGTGCCTTTAAGATTTTTTCTTCATTCAGAAAGACATTCAGTGGCCTTCCTGAGGACACTTACATAGTCTCTGTTTATCATCTGTAGATATGCCTGCACGTGTCTCTAAGCTTGCAAGATATGACATTCTAGCCTGTTCCTATTTGTTTTTTCGGACGGAGTTCACGGCCAGAATCGGAAAAGTAGGTGACACGCCCCGGGTTGCAGTCCCTCCCTTCTCTCCTCCCCTTGCTAAGTCGCCTTCTGAGCGAAGTTTGGCAGGAGTGCTTGTGCTCACGCTCGCGATCTGACTGTCCACCGACTGTCCGACTATCCGCACTTGCAATGGGCAATGCCTGGTCAAACTTGTGGAGCCATTTGACAGAAGGTGAGCAAGATGGGGGTGTTAAAACCGACGGGCTGCTGGGCTTAGGTTTGCTGGCTTTTGGAGGGTGACCCGGATTGCTACTCATTCCAACCGACTGTCATAAAGGAAGAAGGTGCTACAGTGATTGTAGCAGCAGTAACATTAAGCTCGGGTCCCACACAATGGGACAAGATCGGGAAGTAACAATTTAAGTAATTTGCATTGTGGGTGTTGAGTCTAATGCTACTTTGAGGCTAGATACAGAATCTTAGAAAGTAGAGTTTAGAGCTTCTCCACTGCATTCATACTACTAAGTTTATTAAAGCAGAAACTTTTGGAATACAGCATGCTGAATTAGTTCTTCTTGAGCTTTCTGCCACTTGAATTTAGTTCCCCCTGTCTGTGATAAATTGCCAGTGCACTTTCCTTCTGTCTTGGTTGTTCATATCTAATATTCCTTCTGTTATCTTCCTTTTTTTCCTCCCAGGAAGAATAATAACGCAAAGAATGCTAACAAAGCAGCAAAAGTTTAAAGAGCTGAAATCATAATTTTTTTAAAAAATGTAGGGATTTGACCCTGAATAATTTCCCTTCCACCCTTACCACCTTTAACTGGGCTTGGCTGAGGCTGAAAGGGAGTGTTGGGTGAAGGAAGATGTCTCTTCCAAAGTTTGCATGAAGACTATTTATGCAACCTCGAAAAAAATGAGTAGGTTAATCTGCCCTTTATGTTTGGTCTCCATCATCTCCATTGCCCAACATTGGTTACTGTCATTTTCATATTTTATTTGTACTTTTATTCTTGTTTGTCCATTGAGCATTGAGGGAAATTGTCAGTTTCACTTTTGCCCTGTTCCATTCCTGGTTTTTGTTTCGTTATTTGAGGCCTACAGGGCTCCTGCAAATTTCCAGAACTGGCTTCAGCTGACCACAATTGAGCCCTAAGTTTATGTTGTTAAGTGAGACATTGGTTAAGTGAGTTTTGCCCCATTTTACAATCTTTATTGCCACAGTTGCTCAGTGAATCACTGCAGTTGTTAAGTTGGTAACATGGTTGTTAAGTGAATCTGGCTTCTCTATTGACTTTGCTCATCAGGCGTTTGCAAAACCTGATCATCCTGGAATCTGGCAACCATCATTTATATGAATCAGCCAAGCATCTCAATTTTGATCACATGATCATGGATATCCTGCAATGGTCATCAGAATGGAAAATGGTCATAAGTCATTTTTTTCAGTGCTGTTGTAATTTTGAACAGTCACTAAATGAACTGTTGTTAAGGTGAGGACTACCTGCCTTGCTTAGTTTGATTCATGGGGATGATGAGGTTTGTAATGCAAATTCACTTATAGGTAGTCCTCAAATTATAACCATTTGATCAAAATTACAACACCATTGAAACAAATGACTTACAACTGGCCTTGCTCTTACTGTGCTGATTGGGGCTTCAGGTTTTTAGCCCTGCTTACATGAATTAGAAAGTGAAAGTGACTCTGCAGGAATATTTGGAAATAAAAATAGCCATGGTGATTTAGTACAAGCATTTAGATGCCAGGTGTTTTTTTGAAAGTCCCAGGAAGAAAGTAGGGTGTATGCAAAATATCTGTTTTCCTCCAAGTCAGATATTGACTTCTCTCTGTTCAATCTGGGATAGTTTGAGATTAATTCCTTTGGTCGGATCATTCTGTACAGGTAGTCCTCGATCTACAACAGTTCATTTACAACAGCACTGAGGAAAGTGACGTGACTATTTTTCACAATTACAACAGTGGTTGTATTCGGCCCGGTTCTGGTGTACCAGTAGTGCCAAAGATCAGCTGGCAGAGAACTGGTTCACTCTGAGTCTCTCTGACAATCTGCAGTTGGGCCCACCCGCCTGCCCCTGCTCCTAGGCCCTTTTTAACCTCTCAGCTGTTTGGCGCAGTAGAGCGGATTGTTGTGCTAAACAACTGAGTGGTTGCTAAACAACTGAGTGGCTTAGTTTTTACTGTTTTAATGCATGCACACGATCGCGCGTTTGGCACGCATGCACATGATCGACCCCTGCAGCCATACCCACCAAGCCACGCCCACAGAACCGGTGGTGGAAATTTTTGAGTCCCACCACTGAATTGCAACCATTTCAGCATCTCCATGGTTATGGGATCAAAATTCAGACGCTTGGCAACTGATTCATATTTATGATGTTTGCAGTCCCAGGGTCATGTGATCCTCTTTTGTGACCTCCTGACAAGCAAAATCAATGGGAAAGCCAGATTCATTTAACAACTGTGCTACTAACTTAACAACTGCAGTGATTCACTTAGCAACTGTGGCAAGAAAAGTCATAAAATGGAGCAAAACTCACTTAAGAACTGTCTTGCTTAGCAACCTAAATGTTGGACTCAGTTGTGGTTGTAAATTGAGGACTTCCTGTAATTCCCCAGCTGTTGATGAAAAAAAAATCACTTGGGATATTTGAGTATGGCTTGAGAGTCTTTATAATCCATATAAATTGGTCTGTGAAGGGGGAGGCATTTTAAAATGGGTTCTTTTTCCCTTGCCTCATTTTTGGATAGGCAAACAATCTAGTCAGTGCAGTGTTTCTTAACTTTAGCAACTTTAAGATGTATGGACTTCAACTCTTAGAATTTCCTAGTCAGCA